TGAAGCCATTTCAGAATATATATTGCAGAGACTAAACCTTCAATGGACACTGATTCACTTCCTGTTCCTTCTTTCCCTCTCCTCCATCTTCACAACCCCATTCTTCACAAACGCTCCGTTCCTTCGCTGCTTGAACGTCTCCAATGCCACCACACGTTGACTTTTCTAACCCCTCTAGTCCGTAGGTGCCTTTACCTACAGATTCTGGTATTTTCTTCATCGCCAATCATGGCCTATTTACAGTGGAATATCCGCGGCCTCAGGGGTAATCGGGGTGAGCTTCAATGTTGCTTTCCAGGTTTTCCCCTGTTGGTGCTTGCTTACAAGAACCAAAATTACACTCGGCTCTTTTCCAACCTATCTCAGGCTATAATTTATTGTATTCTTCGGATCCTTTCTCAGATGGGACCTTTAATGAAAGTGCCCTTCTTCTATGCAATGATATTCCGTACTGTCAACTATTTGTCCATACCTCGCTGCATTACACTGCAGCCCTTATCCACTTGAATAAGTGGTTTACAATATGTTCTTTATATCTCTCTCCTTCTGGAGCATTTTCTATCCCAGACTTTGCCTTTCTTGTTTCATCCTTACCACCACCACTTCTGTTACTTGGTGATTTTAATGCCCACCATTTCCTCTGGGGGGGGGGGGTCTCATTGTGACTCATGTGGCATCCAGTTGGAGGCTTTTCTCGCCTCTCACCCCCTCCATGTTTTAAATACGGGTACTCCCACCCATTTTGATCCTCTACTCATACTCTCTCTTGCATCGATCTATCGTCTGCTCTTCCTCCACTGCACTAGACTTCACCTGGTCTGTTCTACTGGACTTACATGACAGCGATCATTTTCCAATCATTCTTACTTCTCCTTCCTATTCACCACCTTTCCGTAGCCCTCGCTGGCAATTTGATCAGGCAAATTGGGATCTTTACTCACACCTCACTGCTTTTAGTGAGGTTCCTTCTTCATCCTCCATTGATGAGCTCCTACACTCTTCTCGACGTCAGTTTCTACCGCAGTTTCCCTCATTCTATACCCCAAACCTCAGGCAGGCTTTTCTCAGAAGTGCGTGCCTTGGTGGTCTCCTGCTTGTGCTTGTGCAGAACGTTTGAAACGCGCTGCATGGGGCAGGTACCGGTACAATAGAACCGCTGAAAAGACTTCTTGATTTTAAGCAGAAGCGTGCGATCGCTCGCCGTGTCATCCGTGAAGCTAAACGCACTTGTTGGCGAGACTATGTTTCCACCACCCACCTCTGCTTCTTCTATGAGTGCAGTCTGGAAAAAAGTGAGGAAATTGAGTGGAAAATACTCTCCTGACCCGGCTCCTGTTCTAGGGTCGCTGGTTTTTGAGGTAGCAACCTTCTCGACGTTGCCATTGAACTTGGCACACATTGGTCCGTATTTCCCGAGGGCTCCATTTATGCCCCTCATTTCTTTCCTCAAGTCTGCCAGAGAGTTAGTACCCTTGGACTTTTCTTCTCCTGAGAAGAACAGTATAATTGCCTTTTACACTTCAGAACTAGAGGAACGCTCTCAGCTTGCCGATCATCGGCAGCGGGCCAGACGACATTCATATTCGTAGTTCACATTTTCATCGGTCAGCCCTTGTAGTCTCTTACACCTCTTCAAACTTATTTGGGGCACAAGGGTTCTTCCCCAGCTGTGGAAATCGCCATGTTCTCCCTTTCGCAAACCGGGTACTTCAGGAATTGATGCCTCCACTATTGTCCCATCCCCTCTTACTAGTGCAGTTTGCAAGTGATGGAACGTCTCGTAATTCGATTTAATGTGGTATTTAGGACACATCAACGTCTCTCCCTAGTCAATTTTGGTTTCGTAAGGGTGTTTACCATAGACCCCCTATATACGCTTGGATACGTATGTTCGTAAATGCTTTTGCGAATAATCACTCAGTTATTGGCAATTTTTTGACCTTGAGAAGGCATATGACACAACTTGGAGGTATAATATTTTGACCCCGGCCCATTCCTTAGGCCTCCGAGGCCCAAACTACCATCCTTCCTTAAGAACTTTTTAACTGACAGACTTTTTCCCTGTTCGAGTCAATAATGTTCTTTCCTGGACTTCGTCCAAGCTGAAGGTGTCCCTCAGGGGATGTGTTCTAAGCACAACACTTTTTCTCCTTGCTATAATGATTTTGGGCCTCTGTTTTCCACCCAATATTTGGTCATCACTCTATGTTGATGACTTCGCTATTGCTTCGGCAGGCAACCTCTGACTGTCATCTTATTGCATTTTCGCTCCAGATGCGGTTTCGACCGTGTTTCCACTGGGCCACCGATGCGGTTTACATTTTCAAGTACCAATAACTCAACCAAATTACTTTCACTAGACGCTCTGGTTATCTCCGCTCATCCTTTGTATCCTATGGCTCCTGTATCCCCGAAACGTGATACAGTCAGGTTTCTAGGCCTTCTCTTTGACCGTAGGTTATCTGGAAACCTCACTTTACCTTTCTGAGGCAAACTTGTCACAGCGGCTTAAACCTTCTTTAAAACCCTTGCTCATCTTTCTGAGAGCTGATCGTCAGAACTCTGCTTCGCCAACATTCAGCCTCGTTTTATCGAAACTTGATTATGGTGACAGATGATTCCGCGGCCTCTCCTGCTACTCTCTCTAGATTAACTCTATCCATCACCAAGGATTAGTTTGTGCCTTGGTGCTTTTCGCTCTTCCCTGTTGTGTGCCTCTATGAAGAGCGAATTGTTTCATCCTTGGTTGTTCGCCGTGATGCCCATTGCCTTCGCTACTATGTACGCTACTCACGATCTCCACAATCCCTTCCTATTTATAGAAATGGGTAATGATATTTAGTTGACATTCTATATTCGTTCGCTGCCCACTGTTGGCTCAGTCCCACTTTTCGCCCTACATGTCACTCTTGTCTTCCCTTCAGTTACCACCTTTATATGTTCATGTTAGCTTCTCACTTTTCCCTACCACCCTGGAAGTTCCAGCTGTTCGCGGTCTGTTCTTTCTCACTCCCCTTGCTCGAAAAAGCTAACTGCCTACGATGGCTTCCCACTCTCTTTTTCTTGACTCACTCCTCCACTCCCATTCTCATGCCTGCTGTGTACACAGATGGCTCTAAGTTTTCAGATGGCGTCGGATTCGCAGCAGTGTTTCGGACAGCTGTCTGCAGGGGCATTTACTATCTTCGGCTAGCATTTTTACTGCTGAACTGTATGCCATTCTTGCAGCACTTATTCGTACCGCATCTATGCCTGTGTCATCATTTGTGGTAGTCTCAGACTCCCTTAGTGCTCTACAGGCTATACGAAAATTTGATACATCTCACCCCCTAGTTCTCCGTATCCAACTTTGGCTATGCCGTATCTCTACCAAGCATAAAGATATTATTTTTTGTTGGGTCCCTGGTCATGTCGACGTACAGGGCAATGAACAGGCAGACACTGCTGCGCGGTCAGCAGTACATGACCTACCAATTTCCTATAGAGGTGTTCCATTTCTGGACTATTTTGCTACAATAGCTGCTCACCTTTGCGCCCGTTGGCAACAACGTTGGTCAACTCTGCTTGGTAACAAACTTCATTCTATTAAACCGAGCATAGGTTACTGGCCGTCTTCTTGTCATCAGTGCCGTGGTTGGGATACCACTCTCTCCCGTCTTCGCATTGGCCACACTCGTCTTACTCACGGGTATCTCATGGAGAGGCACCCTGTACCTCTCTGTGAGCAGTGTCAAGTTCCAGTATCAATTAGCCACATTCTGTTAGACTGCCCTCTCTATCAACGAGCACGCAGAATTTACCTCCAACGCCGTCTTCGTTCTACTACTCTCTCTTTACCTTCCCTTCTTGCTGATGGACCCTCCTTTAATCCTCTCTCACTGACTTCTTGACAATGACTGATTTACTCCACAAACTCTGATGATGATACCTTACGCACTCCCCTCAGCCCTTTCTAGCTCAGTCTCTTGCTACCCTTTACCCTTTCACCATCCACTGCTCCGCTGTTATCCGTAACCTATTACTCATCCACCTCCCTTTTGCCACCTGATGCCCTCGCTTCCTTCCTGCCCTGCAGTGCTGTATAGCCCTTGTGGCTTAGCGCTTCTTTTTTATTATAATAATAATAATAATAAGAACAATGTCATGACAGCCAGGAAGATGACAGAGTGGATAATGAGAACAAGGGAAATAGTGCCAGTGGTGACACTTTTCAAATCACTTGTATTCTATTTGAAATATGTATTGCTGTTTTGACAGCCCCATTCAAGGCAGGAGAAATAGCTACAACAGAAAGATATGGCCTGCAGAGCCAATTAAGGCATTTAAATTACTGGGACTGTCTTAAAGTCCTAAACATGCAGAGAGGAGATATATGATAATATATAGTACCTAGAAAGTATTTGAGGGCCTTGTCCCAGATTTGCACACAGTCATAAGATACTAGAGTGAGAGATATGGGAGGAAGTGCAAAATAAACCCAGTGAAAAATAGGGACACCATGGTCACATTAAGATAACACTGTATCGATGACTTGTGGCCTAAGTTATTCAACATCTTGTCACAAGATATCAGAAACATCGCTGGGACAAATGTAGAAGTTTTAAAGAGAAAACTGGAAAAGTATCTTCACCAGGTGCCAGATCAACCAGACTACTGGATATGTGGGTCAGCAGACCACCAACAGCAACAGCCTGGTTGACTAGGCAAGCACCAGTCGAGCCTGGCCCAAGGCCGGGCTCAGGAAGTAGAAAAAAACTAGGAATTCATCAAAGGTATGACATTTTTGTTCTTATAATTTTTTTTTATTACCACCTCAGCCCTCTCTCACGTAGGTTAGGTGACTCAAAGGAGGAAACGTTTTCACCATTACTTATTTTATAGTCTTCTTGCCAGATGTGCACTTACTTCATAATTTAAAAAAAACTCTGAACTGTACTATCTCCACCCATTCTTAAGAGTGCAAAATTAAGGAATTAAGAAATATAATTATAAATCATATGTTTAAAACTGTTGAAATTGCTTCATTCTTTATTGAAATAATTTGTACACTGGTAAGTGTTACATTTTCTCTATAAAATAATTATGCTACATGTACTGTACTGTATATGAAAAGTGGGCCAACCCTGAGTTTGCATTAACTTCTGTGAATGTAGCATAATTAAGCATAACCTCACAAAAAATATAATCAATAAAGTAGTAGTAGTATCAGAATAGCCCTAAAAAAATGGTCATAGTGCTATGTTCTGAGGATGTGTAAGGGTTGAGTTAATGGAATCAGAGGTTAGTGCAAGTGCAAAATTTATGTCAAGGTTGGTGCCTGCTCTCTGATCACTGTCATGAAGATAGTTTTTTACTGTCCACTTGAACTCTAGCACTATGAATGAGGAACTGTTGGATATCCATACACGAGACGTGTATAAAAAAGGAGACCCCTCAAGGAAGATTAGAAAGGGACACACATGTAGTGTAATGCAATCCTTTATTAATAATGTACCACCCACACAGTGGGCTTTATAGCCACAAACAGAGCTGGCTGACTTGATAAAGTCCACTCTGTGGGTGATACATTATCAATAAAGGATCACATTGTATGGATTTGTGTCTTTTTCCATTGTGTCAGTATTTTATATCATTTTCCTCCAAGGAAGGTTACTTGATGCCAGTGAGGGATTCTAGATCGATGAAATTCAACCTAACCTCTCTTCCTTGGATCAAACCTATTTGCCTAATACCCATGGGAGTGTATGACACTACGGCTAAATTTAGTGTTCTTCATGACTGTAATGATGATATACACGAGAATGGGTTTGGTAATCTATGTGTGGGAACACCAGTATTCAAAACGTGGAGAGGCAGTCAGGAAAAAAAAAGGACTGATTTGTAAGGGAGAACAGTACAAAAGGCAGATAGATCATGTACCATTTGTCCAAATAGATGTGGGCTGCAGTGTAGCTCAGCTAAATATAAACAGAAATTAAAAGATACTGAATAGTTCATATTAGGGCACTTTCATTGTGTGATAGGCTGTATAGGACATCCAACCTATGTAGAAGTACATAGGTTGGAAGTCCAATTGTGTTATGTAATTTAGGTTCATATCAACAAATACATACAGGAAAACTGAGAAATCAACCTTTGAAGTTCTCCTAAATTCCTGTATACTGTATTCCATTGTTATTATTACATTCGTGGGATGGGGTGGAAGAGTGCTAAAATTTGTAGAGCTCATACAGTACCTGAGGAAATGAAGGGGAGGTCAGGTGCATCTCTTTATTTTGTATTAAATTTAGGAGGAGAGCACTAAACATGTAGGGTTATAGAGTACCTGGGGAATGGGAGGCATTCAGGTTTGATCCAAGGAAGAGGACAGCAAATTCAATTCCTTGAGTCAAGAGCCCCTTACTAGCTTAGAGGATTATTATTATTTATTTATTTTATTTATTACACTGGCCGATTCCCACCAAGGCAGGGTGGCCTGAAAAAGAAAAACTTTCACCATCATTCACTCCATCACTGTCTTGCCAGAAGGATGTTTTACACTACAGTTTTTAAACTGCAACATTAACACCCCTCTACACTCACTAGGCTGGCTTAGAGGAGTCTCCCTTGAGGGTGCTAATTCTTTGGATCAAGAGCACCTCACACATCAAGGAACCTCTTTCAGGGGCAATAGTTCATTATAATACTGTATTGTCATTATCGGTTATAATACAATGGTACATAATGGTAGATGGTGGCTATGGGCAATGGTTATAAGTTAAGTCATTATGGGGTGGTATTAAGATATGATTTGCACGAGATATATTGATAGTATTAAAAATAGGGTTTGTTATAGGTAAGAGTGTAGGAGTTGTGAAGTACCTTTGTGAATACAAATGTATGAAGCTTAGATGCTGTAACATATTGTCAGTCATGTGGTATGTCTGTATGTTTTGTTTGTTGTTGGTCCTGTGGATTTTCCTTGTTTAGGATGGAGGGTTTCAAGGTCTTTTTCTGATGTTTTTTTAATTAAAGAAGATATAGCCTCAAGTGTCTCTTAGGTCAGGGAAATGTGATGCAGAAGATAACCTGCCAAAGGAGCTGCTTCCCGAGTTGGAGAAAAATAGTAGGAAAACGATGGGGGGGGGGAAGGGTGCATGCATTTCTGCATTTCATTGATAAGGAAGAAGTCAAAGAATGAGGTTATTAAAAGTTTTAAATGAGGTCTTGTGTGGGGGTTTGTTAGGTTTCTGGGAGACAGAGGGGTGACAGCTGGTGAAGAGGTTGGAATGTCAGCAGTGAGAACATCATGTTAACCCTTAAACTGTCCAAACAGATCTACGTTCACATGCATAGTGCTCCAAAAGTAGATCTATGTTTTTATACATATTTTCAAATCTAAAAAAAAAAAAAATGTAGATCAAGGTTCTTTACACGTTTTCAAAGGTAAAAAACAAAAAAAAAAATCTCCATTTTTTACATACTTTCAAATGTTGAAAAAACGTAGATCTACGTTTGGACAGTTTAAGGGTTAAAAACTGTAGTGGTGGTTTAAGTCATAGGGTGTCAAGAATGTCAGACAACTCAGAAATATGAGCAACATGTTATCCCTTTTTGAGGTAAGTAGGTCACAGTGTGCCTATGCATACTCTCTGATGTAACTAGGTCACAGCTTGATTATACATACAAATCCTCTTTTAAATATAAATGGGTCAGTCAGATCATACAACAAACTCTTATTTTGATATAACTATATCACAGCCTGATTATACAACAATCCTTCAAATATGAAATTTCACATTCTCATAAGGAAGTGGGACACTGACTAGAATGAGAGATGTGTTTTGCCACAATGGTCTATTGCTCCACGCCAAATATTCTTCATTCAATCTACATGTTTGCCCAGGTGGCCATATTAGCATTTTCAGCACTGTTAGGGTGATAATTTGCAGTCTCTCACTTCTGAGAGTTTACTTTCAATGTTAACCAAGGAGAGTAGGTTGCAGCAGCTGAAATAATTTTTGCCTTTGGGCATGACTAACATGAGTGATAGAGAGGTACAGTATTGTGAAGTTGCTCTTGGATATCTGAAGTGCATTATTTGATGTCTTACTGTATTAAGGTGTATGGGATGGGATGATAATGGTTTCATAGCTTGAATTGAGAAATGAATATAATGTGATGGCAGTGTTGCCAATAGTATAGAACTGTAAGTTTATTGTCTGGGTTGGTGATATGTTGATAATGTGCATCTTAAGGGCATGGTCAGTAAGGTACACCTCAGAGTTTGTATGAAAGGTAAAGAATTTTGTCCACTATCAATGTTTCAAGACCTCTTCCTGAGCTATAGGATTCAAGTGTTTCTCAAGTGTGTGTGGTATTGCTTCAGTATCATCATTCATTTGTCCAGATCTTTTGGCATGGTCAAGGTAAAGCAAAGGCCAGAGATAACAGATAGGATATGTAAAACACTGGTACTTGGTTCAGGCAACAAGGGATTGCTCAAAAGCAGTTCCAGGTTCTGAGGATGGCCCATGACTCAGTGGAGGATGTCAGTCATGGAATTTCAAGAGAATAAAGTAATGTCTCATTCATCATCATGAAGAAAATAAGGAGTACAGCTAAGATGATTATATTTAGGGGAAAGCACTAAACCCATAGGGGTCATAGTGCCTAGAATGGGAGGCAATCAGATTTGATCCAAGGGAAGAACCATTCCAATTCTATGTATCAATGAACCTCTTGAGGAAGGCTCCAAGGAAAACTATAAAAGCCACATACCCACTCTGAATTTATTTTATTTTGAATGCCTCGGAAATGGGAGGCTTTCAGGTTCAATCCAAGGCAGGGGAGGATAAGTCCTGTTCCTTGGATCAACAGACCTTCACTGGCATCAAGGTATCCCCATGAAGGGATTGTAAGAAAAAAAGTGCAATGTACTGTATGTAGTTTACAAATACAATTAATATAAATTTGCTTTTAATTACTTTTGCATATTATATTCCACAACAAATATAAATTGGCACAAGAAATAATAGTAAATATTCAGAAAGTATTTTGTAGTTTAAAAAAAAAATAAATGGGTAGAGTTAATACCAAATAGTTTGGCTGATATCAATGTTCTTTGTGATCCATTTCATAAAATTAAAATATGAGCATATTCTAATGTTGAGAGCGCTGAATCTGTTCCTTCAATTGAAGAATGGAGGCTCGTTGCTCTGGTGGTAGCATCTTTATCTGTTCGTCCGACAGCTGCAAGACCTGCATAATCAGACTGGCCTGCAACAAAATTGCATAGAAATTAGTACTGCTTAATTTCATTCTGGCTTGTGACATTAAATGTGAGGAAAGTATACTAAAACCAGGTATAAATAGAAGGCCTACTGCTACCTATCGTAAGCGCTAAACCAACTGGGGTCATACAATGCCTGGAAAACAAGGCAAATGTTCAACCCAAGGAAAAGGAGGACACATTCAATTTCATGAATCAAGAACCCCTCTCAACTCTTGAACCTGAGCAAAAAAAAATTATAGAATGAAAGCATTTTTTTTAATTGAATGAAACTAAAATAAGTGTAATCTGATAAAAAAAAATACAGTTTTATGGCGTGTTAAATTGGCGGAGAAATAATCACTCATCAGCAACAGCTGCATAAATGCACCAGCATTAATGCCAAGATATTATAATTTTTCTGTTTTTTAATGGCTTTTACTGTTTAACACTATGTATACTTGTTTCTTAAGATATTGAATGCGTTTAACCCTTTCACTGTCCAGGCCCCCAATATTAATGTTACTCTGTGTCCACTTTTTTTTTAAATATATTTAAAATATAAAAAAATTAAATATTAAATATGTAAATATATTAATATATTATATTTTAAATGTTTTTATATTTTAAATATTAAGATTAAGGAAATGTGTGCAAAGTGGGTTGAACTGCAAACCTTTATGGATGAAAATCACCCTCACACAGCTATTGCAAGCCGTGCTGGTGACTATTACAATGACAATGTTGTGAACCACTTTAGACAAATCATAAAGGAACGAGAGGTGCAGAGCTCTATGGACAGATATATTGTGCGACAGAGGTCCACTGACAATCAAGCTGGTCCTAGTGGCATTGAAAGAAGAAGAGAAGTAACCCCGGAAAAGGACTTGATACCTCAAGTCCTAATGGAAGGGGATTCCCCTTCTAAACAATAACAACTTCCACACACTCCCCTCCTCCCATCCCATCAATCATCACCAGATCTTCAATAAAGGTAAGTGTCACGTATTCCATTCTTAGTAGAGTATTAACTGTGCATGTCTTCTTCAGTTTGTGTGTATTCAAATTAATATTTCATGTGTTAAAAAATTTTTCTTTTTCATACTTTAGGTTTCTTGCACAGATTAATTTGATTTCCATTATTTCTTATGGGGAAAATTAATTCGCCTTACGATAATTTCGGCATACGATGAGCTCTCAGGAACGGATTAATATCGTAAGGCGGGGGGTCACCGTATATATACATGTATATATACATTTAAAATATATATATATATTTAAAATATAAAAATATTTAAAATATTTTTATATTTTAAATTTTTATATTTTAAATATTTTTATATTTTAAATATTTTTATATTTTAAATATATATATATTTTAAATATGTATATATGTATATACGGTTGACCCCCGCCTTACGATATTAATCCGTTCCTGAGAGCTCATTGTATGCCGAAATTATCGTAAGGCGAATTAATTTTCCCCATAAGAAATAATGGAAATCAAATTAATCCGTGCAAGACACCCCAAAGTATGAAAAAGAAAATTTTTTTACCACATGAAATATTAATTTTAATACATACAAACTGAAGAAGACATGCACAGTTAATACTCTACTTAGAATAGAATACATGACACTTACCTTTATTGAAGATCTGGTGATGATTGATGGGATGGGAGGAGGGGAGTGTGTGGAAGTTGTTATTGTTTAGAAGGGGAATCCCCTTCCATTAGGACTTGAGGTATCAAGTCCTTTTCCGGGGTTACTTCTCTTCTTTCAATGCCACTAGGACCAGCTTGAGAGTCAGTGGACCTGTCACACAATATATCTGTCCATAGAGCTCTGTACCTCTCGTTCCTTTATGATTTGTCTAAAGTGGTTCACAACATTGTCATTGTAATAGTCACCAGCACAGCTTGCAATAGCTGTGTGAGGGTGATTTTCATCCATAAAGGTTTGCAGTTCAACCCACTTTGCACACATTCCTTTAATCTCTTTTTTCAATTCCATACTAATTCACACCCTTTTTACCACAGGGATGGCACTAGAAGCTTTCTTGGGGTCCATGGTGACTTATTTTGCAGTTACAAGCACTAAAAACACTGGGAGAATGTGAAATGTACCGAATGTATGCGTAGATGCGACCGCACTGGCTGGCTTGTAAACACTGGTGCTGAGGCCACACGTGGGACACGTCCTGGACGAATCACGTAAGGTGAGTTTTTTAGCGTGAGGCGAGGCAAAATTTTTGCGTTAAAATGTATCGTATGGCGGATTTAACGTAACGCGATGCCATCGTAAGGTGGGGGTCCACTGTATTTTAAATATATATACATATATGATAGAGTGAGTGAGGCACTGTCAAAAATTTTTAATGAAAACAAGAAAAAATTTTGGAGTGAGATAAACAAGTTAAGAAAGCCTAGGGAACGAATGGATTTGTCAGTTAAAAACAGAGTAGGGGAGTTATAAGAAGGGGAGATGGAGGTATTGGGTAGATGGTGGGAATATTTTGAGGAACTTTTAAATTTCGATGAAGAAAGGGAGGCAGTCATTTCATGCACTGGCCAGGGAGGTATAACATCTTTTAGGAGTTAACAAGAGCAGGATGTGAGTGTGAGGAGGTGCATGAGACATTACGAAGAATGAAAAGGGGTAAAGCAGCAGGAACTGACAGAATCATGACAGAAATGTTAAAAGCAGGGGGGGGATATAATGTTGGAGTGGTTGGTATTTTTGTTTAATAAATGTCCTTGGAGGCAAAGAGGGGAATGTATGAGAGTATAGTTTTACCAACGCTCTTATAGGGGTGTGAAGCATGGGTGATGAATGTTGCAGCGAGGAGAAGGCTGGAGGCAGTGGAGATGTCATGTCTGAGGGCAATGTGTGGTGTGAATATAATGCAGAGAATTCGTAGTTTGGAAGTTAGGAGGAGGTGCGGGATTACCAAAACTGTTGTCCAGAGGGCTGAGGAAGGGTTGTTGAGGTGGTTCGGACATGTAGAGAGAATGGAGCGAAACAGAATGACTTCAAGAGTGTATCAGTCTGTAGTGGAAGGAAGGCGGGGTAGGGGTCAGCCTAGGAAAGGTTGGAGGGAGGGGGTAAAGGAGGTTTTGTGTGCGAGAGGCTTGGACTTCCAGCAGGCATGCGTGAGCGTGTTTGATAGGAGTGAATGGAGACAAATGGTTTTTAATACTTGACGTGCTGTTGGAGTGTGAGCTAAGTAACATTTATGAAGGGGTTCAGGGAAACCGGCAGGCCAGACTTGAGTCCTGGAGATGGGAAGTACAGTGCCTGCACTCTGAAGGAGGGGTGCTAATGTTGCAGTTTAAAAACTGTAGTGTAAAGCACACTTCTGGCAAGACAGTGATGGAGTGAATGATGGTGAAAGTTTTTCTTTTTCGGGCCACCCTGCCTTGGTGGGAATCGGCCAGTGTGATAATAAATAATAATAAAATGTATGGAAGAGGGGAAGGTACCTAGGGATTGGCAGAGAGCATGTATAATCCCTTTATGTAAAGGGAAGCGGGACAAAAGAGATTGTAAAAATTATAGGGGAATAAGTTCACTGAACATAACAGGAAAAGTGTACGGTAGGGTTATTATTGAAAGAATTAGAGGTAAGACAGAGAGCAGGATTGCAGATGAGCAAGGAGGCTTTAGAATGGGTAAGGGATGTGTAGATCAAGTGTTTACATTGAAGCATATATGTGAACAGTATTTAGATAAAGGTAGGGAAGTTTTCATTCCATTTATGGATTTAGAAAAGGCATATGATAGAGTGGATAGGGGAGCAATGTGGCAAATGTTGCAAGTATATGGAATAGGCAGTAAGTCACTAAATGCTGTAAAGAGTTTTTATGAGGATAATGAGGCTCAGGTTAGGGTGTGTAGAAGAGAGGGAGATTACTTCCCAGTAAAAGTAGGTCTTAGACAGGGATGTGTAATGTCACCATGGTTGTTTAATATGTTTATAGATGGGGTTGTAAAAGAGGTAAATGCTAGGGTGTTGGGGAGAGGGGTGGGATTAAATTATGGGGAATCAAATACAAAATGGGAGTTGACACAGTTACTTTTTGCTGACGATACTGTGTTTATGGGCGATTCTAAAGAAAAGTTGCAAGGTTAGTGGACGAGTTTGGGAGGGTGTGTAAAGGCAGAAAGTTGAAAGTGAACATAGATAAGAGTAAGGTGATGAGGGTATCAAATGATTTAGATAAAGAAAAATTGGATATTACACTGGAGAGGAGTATGGAACAAGTGAAGGTTTTCAGATATTTGGGAGTTGATGTGTCAGCAGATGGGTTTATGAAGGATGAGGTTAACCATAGGACTGATGAAGAAAAAAAGGTGAGCAGTGCGTTGAGGTATATGTGGAGACAAAAAAACGTTTTCAATGGAGGCAAAGCAGGGAATGTATGAAAATATAGCAGTACCAACACTCTTATATGGGTGTGAAGCTTGGGTTGTAAATGCTGCAGCGAGGAGGCAGTTGGAGGCAGTGGAGATGTCCTGTCTAAGGGCAATGTGAGGCATAAATATTATGCAGAGAATTCGAAGTGTGGAAATTAGAAGGTGTGGAGTTAATAAAAGTATTAGTCAGAGGGCTGAAGAGGGGTTGTTGAGGTGGTTTGGTCATTTAGAAAGAATGGATCAAAGTAGAATGACATAGAGAGCGTATAAATCTGTAGGGAGAAGGAAGGCAAGGTAGGGTTCGTCCTCGAAAAGGCTGGAGGGAGGGGGTAAAGGAGGTTTTGTGGGTGAGGGGCTTGGACTTCCAGCAAGTGTGCATGAGCGTGTTAGATAGGAGTGGAGACGAATGGTTTTTGGGACCTGACGAGCTGTTGGAGTGTGAGCAGGGTAATATTTAGTGAAGGGATTCAGGGAAACCGGTTGTTTTTATATAGCTGGACTTGAGTTCTGGAAATGGGAAGTACAATGTCTGCACTTTAAAGGAGGAGTTTGGGATATTGGCAGTTTGGAGGGATATGTAATAGGACGGTATATATATAATTGGGGCCCTGATACTGTAATTATTTCAGTTCACTTTTTGTATTGTATCTTTATATATGCTTCTAAACTGTTGTATCTGGGTGCCTCTGCAAAAACAGTGATTATGTATGAGTGAGGTTAAAGTGTTGAATGATGATGAAAGTATTTTTATTTTAGGGATTTTCTTTCTTTTTGGGTCACCCTGCCTAGGTGGGAGCCGGGTGACTTGTTAAAAAAAAAAAAAAACTTTTTTTTCTGAAATGGTAAACTTTTTCCAAAGTAATGACACCAAAAGTACAAAATTTGATGGAAAATTTACGGAATTAGAAGGGCACAAAGTTTGTAGTCTCGGCGCAATTAAGGAATTGGTAATTTCACCTGTTTTGTGTTGTTTTAAGCCAATTACATTTCTCCAATCGACCAAATTCTTAGTTATTTTGCTAATATGCTTTCCATTCTATCAACTGAACAAAAGAAACCGACCATTTAACTTTTACAACTACCCTCTAAATTCCACAAAAGTTGGTAATTTGGCCAATTTTACACAAAAATTAAAAAAAAAAAAAACACTAATCTAAAAAAAAAAAAAAAAACAATGTAGACATTCCTGGCACTAAAACAACATTAATTTCTATATCTTTTTTTTTAATACAATTTCAAGGTTCCCCTTTTCACCATATGTAGTTGTTCACCTTTCGAACATCTCTTCATTTATTTGTCAGTCATCACACATAACTTTATCCAAATGCTTACAAAGTAACCATTACCACTAACCTTCTCTTGATCCTGGCCAGCAAGACTGGCTGGGAGAGTAGTGGGAGCTGCTGGTGGTGGGGGAACCACACGAGGAGGAGGTTGGGAAGGTCCACCTATGGGAGGAGGGGGGTTTCCACCTTTGTAAAGAAAAACAGATAAGCATTTGAGTTGTCCTAAACAAATTCCTATAAGGCATAGAAATACTTCACACTGTAACCAATAAAAACATAAATGAGATAAACAAGAATATAAAAACTAATACAGTACTGAGATGTACAAGAATAAAGTTGTGATTTGATAGCCTAGTATGCATCTTCCAACAATCTTTTTTTGGTTTAGAGTGGTATGAACTTATTTATGCTAGCTATGTTTGGAATACCTGGGTAGGATATTACAAATAAAATGTCATCATAAATAGGAGAAAAGGTCGCAACACCATAGCTAGAGAAATTTACTAATAATCTACTCTGGAGAAAAAACTTGAGAAGTTTCAGTCCATCCTGGAAGATCAGTCATAATTATGGATCTTTCTTTCAACACACTGGCCGTATCCCACCGAGGCGGGGTGGCCCAAAAGGAAAAACGAAAGTTTCTCCTTTTACATTTAGTAATATATACAGGAGAAGGGGTTACTAGCCCCTTGCTCCTGGCATTTTAGTCGCCTCTTACAACACGCATGGCTAACGGAGGAAGATTTCTGTTCCACATCCCCATGGAAGTAATAGGAAATAAACAAGAACAAGAACTAGAAAGAAAATAGAAGAAAACCCAGAGGGGTGTGTATATATATTTTTGTACATGTATGTGTAGTGTGACCAAAGTGTCAGTAGAAGTAGCAAGACATACCTGAAGTCTTGCATGTGTATGAGACAGAAAAAAAGACACCAGCAATCCTACCATCGTGTAAAACAATTACAAGCTTCCGTTTTACACTCACTTGGCAGGATGGTAGTACCTCCCTGGGTGGTTGCTGTCTACTAACCTACTACCTAGGATAATTATGGATATTTTTACATTAACTGTTTCAGGGTCCAGACCCCTGATCTGAAACTTGTCCACATGGTCCATGAATTTTTTTAAAACAAATTTTTGTTATTTTTTTCTTATGAAATGGTAGAGAATCTTTTTCTGAAGGTAATAAAACAAAAAGTACAAAATTTGATGGAAAATTCACGAAATTACGCTTTTGCAAATTTTGCTGCATCAACGATATTTATGCATCAGCAATTTTTTCCCAATTTGACTCCCATTTTAGGCCAATTACATTATTCCAGTTGACCAAATTCTTAGCTATTTCACTAGTATTACTTCTATTTTATCAACTGAGCACAAGAAATCACCCAATCAACTATTTTAACTACCCAATAAAGTGATCAGAAATTGGTAATTTGCCCAATTTCAAAGTTTAAAACATTCCAATTTCAAAATAGGGTCCAGAATAAACAATGCAGGCATTCCTGGCACTAAAATAAAATTTCCTCTGTTTACTAATTACATTTCCGGGCTTAAGAAATGAATTCCACTTTAATTTTTTATTCACATGAATTTTATTCACACCAAAAACTAGAAGATTTACTGTTATGCAATATTGTAATAATTGTATAAGTAGCATCAGAGCATTCATGAACACACATTAGACCCACCAGCTGACGTGTATTGGATGCATGATGTCATTTGTTTACTCTTGAACATCAGCAAAAATTGAATATTTCTACCTTGAGCTCAGTTTCGTTACTAAAAGCAATCAAAATCATCTCTATTTCTGTAATATATCTTCCATTCTATCAAATGAGATGAAGAAACTGTGAATACAACCATAAAAAACATACAAAAATACACCAAAAAGTTGCTGTTTTAATTCAAAAACACAATCTCAGATTTTTTCTCATTATGCACTGCGTGCTGCAGGATTTGTTTTATATGATGCACACTTACAACACAGATGCAGTCTCTCATATCTAGGCCCAAATTTACCGCTCACAGCTTATCTGAGTGAGCTGAGCTCATGGCGTAGAACTACAGCTTGGACCCAGGCTTCAAAGCCGTAGAACTATGGGACAGACCCTCAAAGGGTTAAAGCTTTAAGGATATGTTACTTTAGAAAGTACAGGAAAAGAAAAATTACATAAAACACATACAACATACGATATTAGACATCTATACTGACAGTCAAACTAACCACTTCTGAAGTCTTTATCCTGAGGGAAAGCTGGTCGTCCCCCTCGTGGATCACGAGTGTCGCTGGGAGGATTACTACGATAATCTCTGTCTCTGTCTGCAGCTCGAGGATCTCTGTTTTCACGCTGTTCACGCGATTCACCACTTCTCTGTTCCCGGCCTTCCCGAGAATCACGATAGCTGCGAGACTCGCGTTCACGTTCTCTGTAAAGGATAGCAATACCTCATGAATTTTAAAAATTGGGAACTTATATTTAACAAATATTTTTTCTACAATAACTTGCAAAATATTATTGCATTTGATATTTTAGGGACGATTTAGAAGGTGTTAACAGGCAAAATATCCCAAAGTTCCTCTCTCCAAATGTTTTTTCACCAAATTATTTACATTAAACAAATGATAAATTATGGAGACCAGTAACACTCATAATCTAGTAGTGACTTTTTTTTTTTTTTTAAATTATGTCACTATTATCCCTATGTTACCATCATATAACAACAATATTTGGGAAAGATCTCTATGAACTGTGTGTTAAGTTTCTTGCTGCAATGAAATGGGATTATAATGATAAGACTATAATTGGTAAATTTAAAATAACTCCATGAACAATCCTCTTAAAATATAAGCATACCTGTTATCTCGTGGATCACCACGGGTAAAGTTTTCTCGGGGTTCACGACTTGGAGGAGGTTCTCGAAACCGCTGCTCACGCTGATCTGTCCTTTGGTCTCGCTGGTCATAATCACCACGTGGATCACGGGGATACCTGCAGTAACAAATGTGAACATTAAATTTAATGTACTGTAATGTATAGTTCAGCATACAATCTGTAACTCATTATTATACAATAGTTTCATTATACAGAACCATGCTGATAAAGTGTAATACAGTATATGATGGTAATAAGGCATCATTTGAATCTTGGATTTTAATAACCAATACCAGTTATGTTTGTCAAATGCATTTCTGGATAACAAATCATAGAAAAATTGAAGTTGAAAAATATTATAAGCGTTCTTAAATTATGAGAACATAACAATATCAATATAATATTACTCTTTTTATCTGCCTTCACAGAAATTTGAGTTTCACAAAAAAATTAAATAAAATTCAAACTACTGTACCCCAAATTGTTTAAAATATATTTTCCAAAACTCAGTGACTCAAAAAGGTGGTATTATTTCACAAGAATCTTTTGATTATAAATATAAGGATATGATTTTCCAGACATTTAATTAATTCAATAAGTATCAAAATAAGGATGGCTGAATCCCATAAGTTTATATTACAAGATCTATTACTTATTTTCAAAAAAAAAACAAGGTAGGGTGGTTCGTCTCCAAAAACCTAATTTTCCCATGCTTATCTACTCATGCTAGTACTGAAAAGCAGACAGCGACTTTTAAAATATTAGATGAATTCAAGATCTCTGATTACATTTTGCATAGTTAAAGCAGATACCTTTGTTTCCACAGTATGAAGTAAGAATATATGAAAAGAATAATCTCTCCATCAGGTGAAGTAAGTCGAAAAATGATGGCTGGACTGCAAGTAGCGGAAAATAAAAATGGAGAACTGACTTAGCAGGGTTCATAAGACTAACTGAATTATGAAAATACAATGAAATTAATACAAATATGAACTATTAGCAATAAATTAAGACACTAACACAGTGTACAACTATTTTACTTTATTCATACTATACAAGAACACACTAAATGCCACAATTACAAAAAGTTCTTGTGCATAAAGAACACTGCAAGTAACGAGTCTCGTATTCCTGCAAAAATTCCCATTTCTCATTCACACATCCACTCCGTGTGTTTGTCCATTTTAACTTTCAATCTTCCATAAATTTTCTGTTTGGTGGATTATATGAATTGAGACATCCTGCACTTCCAGAAAAACAGCTTAGGCCATGAGTGACTGTAAATGTGTTTTCCTTCTTTGGGAAATCCCTTCCCAATTTGTTAAGAATTTAATCTACAATGTACTTTGTTTATAATTCTTTCTGAAGCTTCATTCCTTCTATATCTAATTATTTTCTAAAAACTTTCAGAATTAAGCAATATGTAATACAAACTGGGTTATGCATTAGAATTCAGAATCCTAGATTTTAAACTGCTGCTTTATACAACAGTAGTCTTTTTAATAAACAGTTTGTGTAATACTGCATACATTCCTCCAAACAGCCATCCCTATTTTCCAACTCATCAAAAATGTTGCAAATGTTCATTTCTAATCCCACTTTATTTTCAATAAATCTCTCCTTATAGCTTATGTAAAATATTCCCAGTACACCAGCCTCTTGTCATTTTATTTCATATACAGTGCTCTACATTTAAGTAAGATGGATGAAAGGCACCCAATGTAATTTAATGTCCAAAGTAATACCCTACCCTGGAATAGCTGATGAGACAAAAGGTTATACTGACCTGGCAAATCAAAGCAGAAAGTCTCAGGATTCCCTATGGCTACTGGCTGTCTTAAGTACCTTTTGGGACTGTGTGATATATGGTTTTGTGTTTGTGATTCCCATGCACTTTGTGGTCTTAGGATCAAGTTTGTCCAACATTTCTAGGTATTGCCAAATATGTGCAGGACTAAGTTGCTGACACAAGATAATTGCAGAGAGCATTGGATTACAAAGGCAGGACATCAAATGAAGAAAATAGTAGGAGGCAGCAATGTGTGTGAGCATCTAGTGAGGACCTAGATGTGTTGGTTCCTTGAGAACAGTGTTCATGACATGGCCACATCAAAAGCACATTCAGGGAAGCCTAGAAAAAAAGCCACCACTAATGTTAACTGTACTAGTATATCTAGAAAGTCTGTTATGTGCCCAAATCTTTTGCTCAGTGTAGTGCAAGGTTTTTACATAAAGAGTCTCCCTGCCACATAGCAAATTCTGTTTATCAATGGCTTCTTCACTGTGAAGGAGCCTTCTTCAATGATTGGCCAGGAACTTCCCAGACATGAACCCCAGTGAAAACCTCTGGTCTGAGAAGAATATCAGCCTACTCCAATGGCTTTAGGATGCAATCCGTGAATCGTGGGGAAATTTGCCTCATGAAACCCTGAAGAATGTGTTAATCACTTCCTAGATGGCTAAAGAATGTCTTAAAGTGCAAGGGACAATCTAATGTGTGGTCATGATTTTAGAGGGGGCCAACATACTTTAATGATGAGCAGTGTATACATGGAATTCCAATATAATGGTGATATATCTACTCTGGATGGTATTCACAATTATATTATACAGACATACATTAATGGTATTCAATACCAACAAGTTGATGAATAAGGCACATGTGCAACACTTACGTATCTTTATTGCTGAAACTCTCCAGTGTAAAAGTCACCTCTGCATTTGACAAAAAAAAAAGCCTACAATGCAGGAAAAACATTTTGGCAATAAAAATACCCAAATGTTGCACATGTCTCTTCATTATATTATTGTATATGCTGGTAACTAATAAGAAACAAATTATTCCCTGAAACTCTTCTACACCACACCTGTAACAAAATATTTGGAAAAGCAAGTACTAGTATATACATTTTGAGCCTATCCAGTACATCATGATTATGTAGTTCCCACATCTACACTAAATGATACAACAATGATATATTCTACAATATATTACGTTAGAACAAGGACAACCAGTACAGTACACTGAGTGGCAAACACTTTCCTTTAAGCTGTGCAACAATCAAGCATACCACTTGCAGGGAATAAAAACACTGGCAACAGAGGATCCTTGTAATACAGCATATCCCCTAAAATTGGGCTTTATCACAGGAATGAACAAATACTCTCTCTGCCTTATAAGGCAAATGAGCACCATAAGGTTACGCTCAAAGAAAGACGTGTCACACAAGGTCATTAAATTTTAAGAACAGGTCAGGCAAGGTCATTAAACTGCGAAATCGAGTCTGGTGAGGTCAGGTATTGGTAGGAACAGGGGGTGGGGAAAAGGTGATAAGTTTATGTTTATTATATGAATTGTAGATTATGTGGGCAATAGGTCCAGCAAATACATACATTCCACTGTTTTGCTTGATGGTTTTGGTGAAGTGGATCACTGCTTAACCTCATGGTGCTTGTTTGCCTTACAAGGCGATGTATTTGCTCATTCCTGTGTACTCGATAAAGCCCAGCCTTAGGCAAAAATGTTGCATTAAAAGGATCCTCTGCTACCAGTACCTTTATTTCTACTAGTCAGCTTTTGCCATTGTCTTAATTTTTTTTTTCAACAAACTGGCCATATCCCACCAAGGCAGGGTGACCTAAAAGAAAAAAGAAAAGTTTTTCTTTTTAAATTTAGCAATGTATACAAGAGAAGGGGTTACTCCAGCATTTTAGTCGCCTCTGATGACTTGTGTAGCTTATGGAGGAAGAAGTCTGTTCCACTTCCCCATGGAGCCACTGTCTAATTTTTTTTTTTTTTTCACTAAGTCGGCCGTCACTAGTAAATGATTGGAGTTGTACAAATTATCAGTGATAGCACCTTTAGTGGAGTCATTTGTTTTTATTGTGGCTCATTATTATTATTATTACTTCTTATATACCTATAAGTTATAGGAACTTTAAAAACTAAATGCTAAATGGAATGTTTGTTTCTACTGGTATTTCACATCTGTGCACTTAACAAAATTCATTCACCACATGGATGGAAAAAAAAGAGAGAGGAAGCATTAGTGGTAAGTACACTTTTTTTCAATGTACATGTACAGTATACCACAAACTTGATCAATTTTTGGCATCTGTAAGAGGGCTGAAAAGTTATATCTTTGACCACTTCTGACCCCCAACCACTCCAATATAATCATGCCAAAATCACCTCTATTTTTTAAATTTTTTAAAGAAAACATTGGCACCTACAGTCCTTAACCCTTTCTGGGTGGAGACTCCTGATCTCAAACTTGCTCTCAGGGTCAAGAATTTTCAAAATTATTTTTTCTTATGAAATGCCAAAGAATGTCTTTCCGAAGATAATGAAATCAAAAGTATGAAACTTGATGGAAAACTTACGTAATTACACCCTCACAAAGTTAGCAGTCTTGGCGATATTTATAAATCGGTGATTTTGTCCACTTTGAGCCCTATATTTGACCAATTCCATTGTTCTAGTCGACAAAACTCATGGTTATTTCACTAATATTCCTTTTATTCTATCGACTGAGCACCAGAAACTGCCCATTTACCTATTTGGCCAATTTCACACAAAATTCAAAAATTGCCAATTGAAAAATAGGGTAAAGAATAAACACTGTAGACATTTCTGGTACTAAAAAACATTTCCTCTGTACATTAGTTATGTTCCCAGGCCTCTCCTATATTACACTTGCTTTCCATTTTGAATTTTTATTCACACAAAAAATAGAAGATTTACTGTTATGCAGACTACCGCATTTTTGTAATAATTGTATAAATAATGACAGAGTATTTGTGAGCACATATTAGAACAACCACTTGGATGTGTATGGGATGAGTGACGTAATTTGTGTAATCTGGAAATATCAACAAAAATTAAAAATTTCTGCTACTTTGAGTTTAATTTCAAGCTATTTTCAGTCCTGAAACCAATCAAAAAATCTCTACTTCTCTAAATGTTTTTTATTAACACATCAGCTGTTTCCCACCAAGGCAGGGTGGCCCGAAAAAGAAAAATTTTCATCATTATTCATCATCATTCATTCATTTATGAATCCCTTCATAAATGTTACCTTGCTTACACTCTAACAGAACGTCAAGTCCTTAAAACCATTTGTCTCCATTTACTCTTAACACACTCACGCACGCTTGCTGGAAGTCCAAGCCCCTCGTACACGAAACCTCCTTTACCCCCTCCCTTCTACCTTTCCTAGGCCGACCCCTACCCTGTCTTCCCTCCACTGCAGATTTATTCACTCTTAAAGTCATTCTATTTTGTTCCACCCTCTCTACATGTCCAAACCATCTCAATAACCCCTCCTCAGCCCTCTGGATAACAGTTTTGGTAATCCCACATCTTCTCCTAATCTCCAAACTACGGATTCTCTGCATTATATTCACACTACACATTGCCCTCAGACATGACATCTCCACTGCCTCCAGCTTTCTTGCTGCAACATTCACAACCCATGCCTCACACCCATACAAGAGCGTTGGTATAACTATACTCTTCATACATTCCCCTCTTTGTTTACATGGATAAAGACTCCTCAGTGCACCACTCTCCTTTTTCCCCTAGTCAATTCTGTGATTCACCTCACCCCTCATAAACCCATCTGCTGGCACATCCACTCCCAAATATATGAACACATTCACCTCCTCCATACTCTCTCCCTCCAATCTGATATCCAATCTTCTGTTACCTAATTTTTTTTGTCATCCTCATCACCTTACTCTTTCCTATATTCACTTTTAATTTCCTTCTTTTACATACCCTACCAAACTCATCAACCAACCTCTGCAATTTCTCTTCAGAATCTCCCAAAAGCAGTGTCATCAGCAAAGAACAACTTTGACAACTCCCACTTTGTGTTAGATTCTTTATCTTTTAACCCCACACCTCTTGCCAACACCCGAGCATTCACTTCTCTTACAACTCCATCTATAAATATACTGATGTATCTTCCATTCTATCAAGTGAGACCAAGAACCAGAGAATGCAACCATAAAAACCATACGAAAATACACTGCAAATTCTCTGCTTTAAACCAAAAACACGGTCAGTTTTTTTCCCTATTATGCACAGTGTGGTGGTGGATTTTTTTATATAGTACACACTTACAGCATAGATCCATTCTCTCATATCTAGGTCCAAATTTACTCCTCACAGCTTATCTGAGAGAGCTGAGCTCATCACGTAGAACAACAGGACCAACCCGCACTACAAAGCCAATGTACAACAGGACTCACCCCAAAAGGGTTAAGGTATTAATAACACGTATTAAACCTTCACTTATAATAAACTTACAACTCTTTCTCTTCTACTTCTGTATACAGTACATTATTTATTATTGCTTCATGGCACCTGACTTTTATTTACCTTTCATTCCTATATCTGAACCCTCTATGCTCATCTATGTTAGTAGTTCCTACCTTAGATTTCTTTGTCAGATATGGTTAAAGAATTTAGTAAGAAATGAAAGAAAAAAACAGCCCTCTCTCTGGTTAACTAGCTCTTGTGCTTGTTAATCTCTCCTATGACTGCCTGTCTGATGAGCAATGAACATATGTGAATCATAACAAGAGTAATAGCAAATCAGCATTAAGCAGCAAAACACAGACTCCATATTACAAAATTACTTACATTTTTTATTTTGTACCACATCAACCATCTCCCATCAAGGTAGGATGACCCAAAAGTGGAAACATTCACCAACATTCATTCAATAGGTGTCTTGCCATAAGTGCTCAGACATCACACTTCAAACAATCCTCCAAACCATAACATCTTCACCTCTCCTCCAAAGTGCAGGCACTACATTTCCCACTTCCAGGACCCATGTCCAGTTAACTGATTTCCCTGAATCCCTTCATAAATGTTACCTCCCTTGCACTCCCAACAGAATGTCAAGACACGCAAGTCACTTGTCTCCACTCACTCTAATCAAATACATTTGCATGTCTGCTGGATACTTAAGAGACTGCATTCAAAGCTTTCTTTGTTTCACCCTAAATTAATACACCCTCTGATCATCCTATTCTGCTACATCTTCTCTAAATACCCAAACCACATCAATAGCCCCTCCTCAGCCCTCTGAATTTTCTCTGAGAACCACATTGTCTCTTAATTTCTATGCTCTGAATTCTCTGAATAATATTCACACCATAATTTGCTCTCAAATATGATATCTCAACTGTCTCTAGCATTCTCCTCACTGCAATGTGTAAAGCCCATCCCCCACACTCATATACGTGGTGGTATCATTACACTCTGATCTCTTCCCTTTTTGCCTCCATGAACTTCACCCCCCACCCAATTTGGCAATTTTAAGGAAAATTTGTTAACAATACTGCATCAATTTTATTATTTGCTTCTCTTTTGTACTCGTTTAATCTTTTTTACATAAAAGTACTACAATTTTTTATACCTTTTCAACATCCTCATCACTTTCTCTAACACTAGCCAACCATTCTTCTGATAACTGTTTATAGCTCTCACTACCATTAATTTATTTGCATTTACCTATATTTTACTTACCGACACCTTTCTCCATATAATAAGCCTTTTAGTTATTCTAGCTTGTACTATGTAGTAATAAAACATACAACTCACTCCTGGATGTACCTGGATTTCCAGCAAGCGTGCATGAGCGTGTTAGATAGGAGTGAATGGAGACGAATGGTTTTTGGGACCTGACAAGCTGTTGGAGTGTGAGCAGGGTAATATTTAGTGAAGGGATTCAGGGAAACTAGTTAGCCGGACTTGAGTTCTGGAAATGGGAAGTACAATGCCTGTACTTTAAAGGAGCGGTTTGGGATATTGGCAATTTGGTGGGATGTGTAATATTCTGTATGGAGTTTATTATATCATTTCAGGTTACTTTTTATACTGTATCTTTATATATGCTTCTAAGCTGTTGTATCTGGGCACCTCTGCAAAAACAGTGATTATGTATGGGTGAGGTGAAAGTGTTGAATGATGATGAAAGTATTTTCAATGTGGGGATTTTCTTTCTTTTTGGGTCACCCTGCCTAGGTGGGTGATGGCCGACTTGTTGAAAAAAAAAAAACGCACACACGCACACGCACGCACACGCACACACGCACACACACACACACTCACACACACTCACACTTACACACACTCACACTTACACACACTCACACACACTCACACACACTCACACTCACTCACACACACTAACACACACTCACATACACTCACACACACTCACACACACACACACACACACACACACACACAACACACACACACACACACACACACACACACACACACACACACACACACACACACACACACACACTCACACTCACACACACTCACACACTCTCTCTCTCTACATTTATCCAATTCTTTCTGAAACTTGTATTACCTATTACAGTCAAATCTTTTCCATCCCTAACTAAAAGTCTCAGAGTTGTGGTGAACACATTACCACTGACCTTTATTACTATTTACACTAAGCAAACTCTTCTACACCATCTATAACAGTAGGTTCCCAATTTTTTTCTCTTTCAAGACAATTTTCATAGAATCTGAATCAAAATTTTCTAAATATTTACCACCAGAATCTTCTACACACAACCGACAGTTACCCATTTACTGCATTATACTTTCATTCCCAACCAATAATTATAGAATAAAAGCATTCATGCTCCAATATTTATACATTTTTTCATTCAACAGAATTGCCATGCCTTCTTTACAATTTTCTCAGACAATTTTCAATTCCATTAATTCTTTACCAATTAAACTATTCTAGGTAAGACACAAGAACCACGACAAGAAGTACTGGACAGTGTTTGGGAAAAGGTAGAATGCAACTGACTCCTGCACTTGCACATTTATACTGTGCTACCATTCTCTGTCAATACTGTCAACGAAATACTTTTAATATAACCAGAGTTTTTTTACATGATAAAATCCCAGGGTCGTGATTCAGAATCAATAATAAATTATGCAATTATCAATGGAAATCAACTTACAAAAGATAAGTATGATGTCTACATACCCGCTATACTACTAAATATACAGTATGAAACTAAAAGATGTTAGTCACCATCATCTATAGACTGTTAATAATCTGAAAGTTAACAAGCCACTATTTCAAAAGCATAAGAAGAGGAAAAAACAAGATAACGATAAATAAAACAGGCAAAAATATATCCAGGGGAATCTGTCATACCTATCGTTGCCTTCAGATTCCTTTGATTGTCGGCTTGAACATGAAAAAAAGTGTGAGGTTACAATAAAAATAATTGGCTAAATATGCCTCGTAAAGCCTTAGTAAATGCTTTCTAATCTTTCTGACACAGAAAATGTTAACTATTTACATACATGAAGAGCATACAAAATATCTAATTAAGTGGTTGTAGTTAATATTCATCATATGTGCAACTTTGTTTAAATAAATAAATCATAAACTGAAGGCTTATTAATTTAGTAGACTAATACAAATTAATTTTTTTTAAATTACTAAAAAGCTGCTAATAAAAGCACAGCAATGATTTACTAAACACAGCTTGTTTCCTTTACCTGTTGTCAAAGTCATGATGTGATCCACCATAGTTATCATGTGGTGGAGGGGGACCTGTCAATACAGGTGGAGGTAGTCGCATGTCCTGATCATTTCCCTGGGGAGGAGGTCCCCTCGGTGCTCCACTTAACTGCCGCATATCAAAGTCACCTCCTAAATTCATAAAATTTTTATGTAATACCACATAGCATTTTCTTGTATTACTATTCTAAAATCCTTTACACTAATACCATGTCCACTCTTCCTTTGTACCAAAAATAGCAAAGGAAAACACAATTGTTTTTTTAAATCTCTGATTCCTATGCTTAATTAAAAACATTCAAATAGTACCTTATAAACAATAAAGAAATTCAAAACATTTAAAAGTTTACCTTTTCACAGTTAAGACATTAAAGTCAATTAAGTAAGACATTCCACTACAAATCTTTTCAAAAGCACACATCTTCTTTCTTTTTTTATTATCACACTGGCCGATTCCCACCAAGGCAGGGTGGCCCGAAAAAGAAAAACTTTCACCATCATTCACTCCATCACTGTCTTGCCAGAAGGGTGCTTTACACTACAGTTTTTAAACTGCAACATTAACACCCCTCCAGAGTGCAGGCACTGTACTTCCCATCTCCAGGACTCAAGTCTATCTTTTTGTTATCCTCGTAACCTTACTCTTTCCTGTATTCACTTTTAATTTTCTTCTTTTGCATACCCTACCAAATTCATCCACCAACCTCTGCAACTTCTCTTCAGAATCTCCCAAGAGCACAGTGTCATCAGCAAAGAGCAACTGTGACAACTCCCACTTTGTGTGTGATTCTTTATCTTTTAACTCCACGCCTCTTGCCAAGACCCTCGCATTTACTTCTCTTACAACCCCATCTATAAATACAGTGGACCCCCGCATAACGATCACCTCCCAATGCGACCAATTATGTAAGTGTATTTATGTAAGTGCGTTTGTACATGTATGTTTGGGGGTCTGAAATGGACTAATCTACTTCTCAATATTCCTTATGGGAACAAATTCGGTCAGTACTGGCACCTGAACATACTTCTGGAATGAAAAAATATCGTTAACCGGGGGTCCACTGTATATTAAACAACCACGGTGACATCACATATTTTTATAAAACATTCATCAAGGCACAACCACACATTACAGTATGCTTAAAAACAACTTTAACAAAGGATCTTTGTTACTGTATATGGCCACAATGCATTTAAAATATACAGAGTATTCTATCAAAAGCTGATATTAAATTAATCATTACTACATATCAAATGATTAAAATATAAGGTAATTACTTTCCAAATATGAAACTATTTGAAGCAAATGATGCAAAAGAATGGACAAGGAGAGACTAGAACTGAAATCAATGACCCTGGAGAAGAGAACCAGGGAAGACATAAAAACAACATGTAATTGATAGGATGGACAGGGATAGGCCATTTGAGAGGCGGGAAACAGGTACTCGGAGGGATGGGACAGTTGGAAGTTGAAGGAATAACAGGGATATCATAAGTATTTCCTCATCCTCAAGGTGGTCAGAAAGTGGAATGACTTCAGCAAAGAAAAAGCAGACAATGTGCAATGTGGCTATATAGTATGCAGAAAATAATTTTGTAAATCACATTTTAATTTTATCTCACTGACTGATAGCCACATACTGGGTTAAGGTGTCAATATCCCAAACTGGTAGTGATTAGTTTAATCAGGAATTTAGGATATCAAAGATTAAAATAAAAAGAAAAAACTTCTAGATGGAAGTTATAACATGAAAATGTTTTATTTCCTACTTTGAATTAAGAATATTCATGAGTATTATGTAGAATCTGGTGAGTTCTGCCTACTTATTATTGCTCTTGAAAGCTCTACAGGATACCCCATGTTTTTGTTTTACTAAGAGAGAGACATAAAAATCTGAGTTCAATCCAAATGTCATCAGAAAAAAAAAACAAGGACTGTGAAACATTATGTACGTGTATCCATTTTTTGGGGAGATGCCTAATTACATTCGGTATACTAGGCTATACTATTAGTAACTTATTGTGAAATTCAGCATTATTAGCCAAGAGCATCAATAAATACACCTTAAACTAATAAATATTTACCTGGGAAAGGCGGACCTCGATTTGGCGGTGGACCAGGCGGTGGACCCTGAAAGTTCGTAGGCCCACTTGTCATTGGTGGTGGATAACGTGTGGGTAAGTTTGAGGGTGGTGGAGGTCCACTGTTAGGGACAGGAGGTAGTCCTCCATTAAGGGTAGGTGGGGCAGATGCTGGCAGTGGTACTGAAGCAGGTGGAGCCACAGTTCCAGCAGGCATTAAAGGTTCAACCACCTCCCGCCCTCCATGAAGTATCTGAACAGCTGTCTTAGGATCAATGATCCTCATAACTACCTATAACAATAAATTAACATTTACATACACAATATAGTAATCACTGTATACATAGGAAACGACCAAGATACAAGGAGGAATCAAATGCAAACAAGACTTCCTCATTTGTTGCTATATGTGTGTGCTATCTTGTCTGCATCTACCTCCCTTTATACCTTCTCATTAATTATACCACTGTGGCTTCAAACAGTATAAGATACAATGTTGTACATATGAAATATCTAGTACACAGCTTGAAGCTTCATGGTTTGCATACAATAAAGTAAAGATAATGAATTTTCTGCCACACACGTTCAATTCACAGCAGCTGGTACAGGGGTTTCAGCTCTTTCCTACCAGAACAGTAACCTAAATAAGGAAAACATATTCACCATCACTAGTTCCCTAGCTGTCTTTCCAAGAGAAAGGGCATCACAATCTAATGAATGATCAGACTGTAACATCCCCATTTATCTTTCAGAGTGCAGACACTGTACGTCCCACCCCAGAATTCAAGTTCAGTTAACTGGTTTCCTTAAATCCCTTCACAAATATTACCTGGTTCATGTATCAAAAGCATGTAACTCCACTCACATTTTTCTTTTTAGTAGTTATTTTTTATTTTCAACACGTCGGCCGCTTCCCACCAAGGCAGGGTGCCTAAAAAGAAAGATAAACCCAAAAAGAAAGAAAAAACTTTCATCATCATTCAACACTTTCACCACCAAGCATACATAATCACTGTCTTTGCAGAGGTGCTTAGATATGACAGTTTAGACGTTCCTCCAAACTGCCAATCTCCTTAACCCTTTCTTTAACCCTTTGAGGGTTTTCGTCGTACTAGTACGTCTTACGCGTAGGGGTTTTTGACGTACTAGTACTCATAAATTCTAGCGACCTCAAATCTAGTGGGAGAAAGCTGGTAGGCCTTCATATGAAAGAATGGGTCTATGTGGTCAGTGTGCACAGTCTAAAAAAAATCCTGCAGCAAACGGTGCATAATGAGAAAAAAAAAACTTTTTCCATTTTTTTTTAATAAATCAGCGACTTTGCAGTGTATTTTCGTATAGTATTTATTGTTGTATTCTAGTTTTCTTGGTCTCATTTTATAGAATGGAAGACATATTACTGAAATTGAGATGATTTTGACTGGTTTTACAATGAAAGGTGCCTTGAAATTGAGCTCAAAGTAGCAGAAATGTTCGATTTTTACCAAACTTCAAAAGTAAACAAATCATGCCAAGCGTGCAATACACGTCAACTGGTGAGTCTAATATTCTTTCACAAGTGCACCAATAATATTTATACCATTTTTTACACTAATGCAGTAGTCTGCATAACAGTAAATCTTATATTTTTTGTGAGAATAAAAATTCAAAGTGGAAAGCAAAAGAATATAAGAGGGGCCTTGAGACGTGACTAATGACTAGAGGAAATGTCATTTTAGTGCCAGGAATGTCTTTCTTGTTTATTCTGGACCCTATTCCGAAATTGGCATCTTTTGAAATTTGTGTGAAATTGGCAAAATTGCTAAATTCTGACCACTGTACTGGATAGTTGAATTTATAAATGGGTGGTTTCTTGCACCCATTCGATAGAAAAAATGGAGTTCTAGCGAAATATTCATGTTTTTTGTCGACTAGTACAGTGAAATTGGCCGAAAATGGGGCTCAAAGTGGGCAAAATCGCCGATCCGTAAACATCGCCGAGACCGCTAACTTTGCGAGAGCATAATTCCGTAAGTTTTCTATCAAATTTCAAACTTTTGGTGTCGTTATGATCGGGAAAAGATTCTCTATCTTTTCATAAGAGAAAATAATTTTTTTTTTTTTAAATTTGGCCAACCCTGAGAACGAGTTTCGGAGAGGGCCTGTCGACCCTCAAAGGGTTAAAGTGCAGGCATTGTACTTCCCATTTCCAGTGTGGGTAACAGGTGTCACTTTTATTACCTCCTCCCCAACAATCCTAGATCTGCACACTAGGGGTGTCAGTATTAGTGGATACTGGTTAATTTTGATGGTATCATTATCAGATAATTTTGATGGTATCAATAGTGGCCTAAAATTGAGCACTGGTATCCCAGTATCAGTACTGGCAAAAATTTTGGTATTGTCCCATCTCTACTGCACACATTTACAGACTGGCAAAAACCTAACAAACCTAATATTCCACTACACCTCTGGTATCAGTAGCACATCTTACAAACTAACTCTTTTGGAAAAATACCTTTCTTATCTCCAAAGTATTATCAGTCCTTCTCACATTACATATTCAGATCTCCTCACTTGTCTAAGTAACCATAAAGAACAAGTACCTCACCAGCTCGAATATCATTTCCTTGTTCACTCAAGTCCCCAATGAACAAATTGCTTTTAAACATTAAACTGGCACTACTTTTAGTTTCCTCTTTACTGCAACATTTAAAGCCCATGTCTCACACCCATATTTGCCTCCATAGATAAACTTTTTTCCCTCCACAGATACCTCAATACAGCACCTACCTTTTTTTCCATGTCTATTCTATGGTGCCCCTCATTGTTTATTGACCCATCTGTCAACATGTTCCCTCCCAAATATCTACATTCATTTACTTCCTCCATACCCCATCCCTCCAATATGACATCCAATCTTTCTTGGAAGACTCTTTTGCTGCTTTCATCCCCTTACTCTTTTTGAAATTCACTTTTAATTCCTACTTTTACATAACCTAACGAATATACAAATAAATCTTTTCAGAGAGGGAATGCACTCACTTTCAACTAATTATACAGCAATAAATTCAATAGTGCCTTTCTTCCGTTGGACTTGGTTTCTGATATCAGAGACCCAATCATTAACAACATCCTTATTGCCAATTACCCAAATTGTTTATACGCATCACTAATCACACACTGACATAAATTTTAATGATAAAATTAATAAGTACAGTAAATAGTCAAACTAAATACCCAACATGCTACACAAAGAGTACATTTTTATCAACAGTTGTTGCAATGCTCAACAAATCACTTGAAACCAAAACCACCATAGACATCTTCAAAACCACATTTTATAATAACTGAGTAAAGAAAAACTTAACTCTATTTGATTACCTGAGCTTGAAGAAGTGCATATGCAAGCTGAGGGTTGTTCATAAGCATAGTGCGAGCCTCAGTAGGATTGTTTCGCACACATAGCTTCATTTGACGCATCAGTTCATACATCTGTTCAGGAGGCAGAGATGCTACTGCATTACTGATTGCTTCTGGTGCTTTGCTTGGCTCAACTTCAGGACCATAAGGAGATTCCACAACTGGGCCCATCATTAAACCTGGAAAAAGCAATATATAATTAAAAACCAAAACCAAAGAGATAAACAGATTTATGAATATTTTATATACACAAAGATATACCATTGAGAATGATCTTGAACCAACTTGGAGCTAAAGTACAGTACATTATAAATGACAAGAACCCTAACACACTCTTGTTTTCTTTCCCTTTATACAAACTTATAAACCTATACCAAAATTAGTTAATTCCTTTCTGTCATACATAAGAGTACAGCCTCTCCTGACACAAACTCACTACCATTATAGCATGCTCCTCACTCAGCAACAAATTTGTTTAACAGCTTGGTCTTAGGAATGGAACTCCGTCGTTAAGTGAGGAGAGGTTATATTAATCAAATGCACCAATCATTCTAAAATTATATTTCCACTTACCTTCTGAATTTCAGTCTTAATTTCACCCATTCATGCAAAGAGCTAACCACGTGGTAGTCATTTAGCGTTGCATGGAAAACCCTAGCCAGTTAAGCCCATGGCACTGATGGAACAAGTGCTCCACACACTCAGAAAAGATAACTACCCACAAGTGGCATAGCTACAAGGATTTACTTCAAAATTTCATACTGATGTAGTACTTATGCTTTGTATAGTTTTGCCATTCCTTCCACATTCAACCCTTTCATGATTTGTTGTTCTTTAACTTTACTATGATCCATGGAGTGTTTCTTTGTCTTTGGGTAGAGGGATAGGAAGGAGAGAAAATAAACAAATTTCAGATTTTTCATGTTTATTCATCTTAAGCAGTCATCTTCAAAATCCAAGGCCACAGAACATGTGTTCCTGGCTGATAAATTATACAGGATAAAGATCACAGTCTTAGTCCCCAAGATTATTTTCCAGCTAATGGGGTATGTCTCAAATCAACTTTCTCATGGAAAATGCAGACAATGTAGTATACCGAATAAATAAATTTACATATCAGATCAAGAAGTGTCAAAAAAATATATATCTACAGAAAAGTTCAAATAGGGAATGGTGTAAATCTATCACCTCTGTCATACCATAAACTAACAAACATCCAAGCAAATATGGGAATACAGTGGTACCTAGGGATACGAATTTATTTTGTTCTAGAAGGCTGTTCGAGTGCCGATACCGAACAAATTTGTTCCCATAAGGAATAATGTAAATTAGATTAATCCGTTTCAGACCCCCAAAAATACACTTACAAAAGCACTTACATAAATACACTTACATAATTGTTCGAGTTTTGAGCTGTTCGTATCATGAGGTACCACTGTATCTTCTTCTGTGAATGATATGGCTCAAGTGCTACTTGTGCATGAGTGATGTAACTATCAATAGAGGCTATGTGCATAAGTCCCTCAGTCCTCCTACAAGAACCCCGTGCTGTTTTCGAGGACAAATTAAGCAATTATAGACAGGGCTAATGTCGACTGATTCTAACAAGATTTCGCACTGCAAACTTTTTATTTCCATTTCAAAATTTCATTCTTCTTTCTGAAATTAATTTTCTTGGCCAACTGCAATATTATTCATATTCACTTAGTCTCAATTCCATATCTATCATCATTATTTTACAGAATACTGTAGAATTATATAAATAAATGAAAAAATAATTTATAAAAATTCTGACAAGTACTTTCCACAATTTATAAAAACGTAAAAATGATGTGTGAACCTAAAATATGTAAAAAGAAATTGAAACAAGAGGCAATACTTCATTAAGACTTACTTTGCATCTCCATCCTAGATTTTTCTGTACATGCATTGTCAACCCGTAGGGGACGCCCACCAATTTCATAAGAATTAAGATTGCGCATGGCAGAAAGAGCAGTTTCTTGATCCTTATACTCGCAGAATCCATAGCCTTTTGGTTTACCAGATTCACGATCATACATAAGCCTGAACAAATAGACCATGAAAGTGTCAGTCAGTTTACCTATAAGTAATTTTATTTTAGAGTACAGAATCATTAGATTATATTGTACTGTAAATGTTCATAATTCAACATACTGTACAGTATATCCTGCTAGAAGCTATTTGTATAAAGTAAGATTCAACTGCCTGCAGAATAAAACACTATCTACAGACCTCAGTACAATAGCTACATTTTAAAATTGAGATAAACAATATAAACAAAGCTAGATATACTGACAGCACATTGAGAATTATCTGAACTATCCTCATCCTCTTTCTGCACATTTATTCAAGGTAAAACAAGAAAGGAAGAACTAAGACTTGAAGAGTACTTTAACCAACAAGATCACCCAGTGCTACTCGCAGGAAAAATAAATGCAGAATATATAAACTAACACCCAAGGTAAAACTATGTGACAAAAATAAAAACCACTAGCACCAACAAGCACACAACACAAATAAATATAGGAGGGCCCCACTTATAGAGCAGGTTAGTTTCCAGGCTACTGCTGTGATGGGAAAATTGCTGTAAAGTGAATCATAGTCTTTTTTCACTCTCAAATGCATAAAAAAAAAGGCCTGATAACATGTTTACACTATCATATATTAAGTGAGCAATATAGCTAGGCCTTAAAAATGCATATACAGTACACACATTACTAACCTTAAAATATTTTGTCCTTAGCTTATAGTGAGTGGTGAATATGTACATTTACTGTAGGAAGTCTGAATAAATAAAGAATGGGTATAAATGAAAAACTTGTATTTAGCAAAACATTGTAAACCAAAGAGCTGTAAAACAAGGTCTGCCTGTACAGCGAACCTGCAATTTGATGGATCTCAATTTAGCCGACTTCAGAAAAATAAGACAAAATTTGCTAGGTCAACTCAGAATTGTTCATTTTTGTTATGAACAAAACAGTCTCTTCTCTATCAACTACAACTGCCACTACTAACAACCCACTTCCCTTTGTTAGTCTGTTAAATCTAAAGTTGATTATAAGTGGCATAGCAGGAGGAGGGGGAGCAGAGGAGAGGGGTAGTTGCTCCAAACCACATTTGACTTCTTTGCTTGCCCTTGTCGTTTTCACCTGCTGTAACCTTCCTAATATCATTAACATTCTAAAGCACTTAAAATGTACATTTGGTGATCATGATCAATCATTGAAGTTTAAAAGACTGTCACCAGAAGTTTAAAGTCTAGTGGGACATACCGACAATATCCTTATAAGGAACTGCATATTTTTTTTTTAAACACACAAACCATCTTCCACCAAGGCAATGTGACCCGAAAAAAAAAAAACTCAAAGTTTTTCTTCCTTTTACATTTAGTAATTTATACAGGAGGGGGTTACTAGCCCCTTGCTCCAGGCATTTTAGTCGCTTCTTATGACACGTAGGGAGAATTACACACTTTTTTTTTTTCAATAAGTCAGCCGTCTCCCACTGAGGCAGGGTGACCCAAAAAGACAGAAAATCCCCAAAAAGAAAATACTTTCATCAACATTCAACACTTTCACCTCACTCACACATAATCACTGTCTTTGCAGAGGTGCCCAGATACAACAGTTTAGAAGTGGGTAAAAATGTTATAGAGGGAGTAGTAGGTAAATTTGGGGTGCCAGGGATAAATGTAAATGGGGAGCCTTTAATTGAGCTAAGTGTAGAAAGAAATTTGGTAATAAGTAATACATATTTTATGAAAAAGAGGATAAATAAATATACAAGGTATGATGTAGCACATAATGAAAGTAGTTTATTAGATTATGTATTGGTGGATAAAAGGTTGATGGGTAGGCTCCAGGATGTACATGCTTATAGAGGGGCAACTGATATATCGGATCATTATTTAGTTGTGGCTACAGTTAGAGTAAGAGGTAGATGGGAAAAGAGGAAGGTGGCAACAACAAGTAAGAGGAAGGTGAAAGTGTATAAACTAAGGGAGGAGGAAGTTCGGGTGAGATATAAGCAACTATTGGCAGAAAGGTGGGCTAGTGCAAAGATGAGTAGTGGGGGGGTTGACGAGGGTTGGAATAGTTTTAAAAATGCAGTATTAGAATGTGGGGCAGAAGTTTGTGGTTATAGGAGGGTGGGGGCAGGAGGAAAGAGGAGTGTTTGGTGGAATGATGAAGTAAAGGTGTGAAAAAGGGGGAAAAAGGTAGTTATGAGAGGTTTTTACAAAGCAGAAGTGTTATAAGAAGAGCAGAGTATATGGAGAGTAAAAGAAAGGTAAAGAGAGTGGTGAGAGAGTGAAAAAGGAAAGCAGATGATAGGGGTGGGAGATCGACTGTCAAGAAATTTTAAATTTGAAAATAAGAAAAAATTTTTGGAGTGAGTTAAAACAAGTTAAAAAAGCCTAGGAAAGTATGGATTTGTCATTTTAAAAACAGATTTAGGGGAGTTAGTAGATGGGGAGATGGAGGTATTAGGTAGATGGCGAGAATATTTTGAGGAACTTTTAAATGTTAAGGAAGAAAAGAGGCAGTAAATTTCATGCACTGGTCAGGGAGGTATACCATCTTTTAGGAGCGAAGAAGAGCAGAATGTAAGTGTGGGGGAGGTACGTGAGGCATTACGTAGAATAAAGGGGGGTAAAGCAGCTGGAACTGATGGGATCATGACAGAAATGTTAAAAGCAGGGGGGGATATAGTGTTGGAGGGGTTTTGGTACTTTTGTTTAATAAATGTATGAAAGAGGGGAAGGTACCTAGGGATTGGCAGAGAGAGCATGTATGTCCCTTTATATAAAGGGAAAGGGGACAAAAGGGACTGTAAAAATTATAGAGGAATAAGTTTACTGGAGTATACCGGGAAAAGTGTACAGTAGGGTTATAATTGAAAGACTTAGAGGTAAGACAGAATGTAGGATTGCGGATGAGCAAGGAGGCTTCAGAGTGGGTAGGGGATGTGTAGATCAAGTATTTACATTGAAGTATATATGTGAACAGTATTTAGATAAAGGTTTGGGAGTTTTTAAATTGCATTTATGGATTTAGAAAAGGCATATGATAGAGTGGATAGAGGAGCAATGTGGCAGATGTTGCAAGTATATGGAATAGGTGGTAAGTTATTAAATGCTGTAAAGAGTTTTTATGAGGATAGTGAGGCTCAGGTTAGAGTGTGTAGAAGAGAGGGAGACTACTTCCTGGTAAAAGTAGGTCTTAAACAGGGATGTGTAATGTCACCATGGTTGTTTAATATATTTATAGATGGGGTTGTAAAGGAAGTAAATGCTAGGGTGTTCAGGAGAGGGGTGGGATTAAATTTTGGGGAATCAAATTCAAAATGGGAATTGACACAGTTACTTTTTGCTGATGATACTGTGCTTATGGGAGATTCTAAAGAAAAATTGCAAAGGTTAGTGGATGAGTTTGGGAATGTGTGTAAAGGTAGAAAGTTGAAAGTGAACATAGAAAAGAGTAAGGTGATGAGGGTATCAAATGATTTAGATAAAGAAAAATTGGATATCAAATTGGGGAGGAGGAGTATGGAAGAAGTGAATGTTTTCAGTTACTTGGGAGTTGACGTGTCGGCGGATGGATATATGAAGGATGAGGTTAATCATAGAATTGATGAGGGAAAAAAGGTGAGTGGTGCGTTGAGGTATATGTGGAGTCAAAAAACGTTATCTATGGAGGCAAAGAAGGGAATGTATGAAAGTATAGTAGTACCAACACTCTTATATGGGTGTGAAGCTTGGGTGGTAAATGCAGCAGCAAGGAGACGGTTGGAGGCAGCGGAGATGTCCTGTTTAAGGGCAATGTGTGGTGTAAATATTATGCAGAAAATTCGGAGTGTGGAAATTAGGAAAAGGTGTAGAGTTAATAAAAGTATTAGTCAGAGGGCAGAAGAGGGGTTGTTGAGGTGGTTTGGTCATTTAGAGAGAATAGATCAAAGTAGAATGACATGGAAAGCATATAAATCTATAGAGGAAGGAAGGCGGGGTAGGGGTCGTCCTCGAAAGGGTTGGAGAGAGGGGGTAAAGGAGGTTTTGTGGGCAAGGGGCTTGGACTTCCAGCAAGCGTGCGTGAGCGTGTTAGATAGGAGTGAATGGAGACGAATGGTACTTGGGACCTGACGATCTGTTGGAGTGTGAGCAGGGTAATATTTAGTGAAGGGATTCAGGGAAACCGGTTATTTTCATATAGTCGGACTTGAGTCCTGGAAATGGGAAGTACAGTGCCTGCACTTTAAAGGAGGGGTTTGGGATATTGGCAGTTTGGAGGGATATGTTGTGTATCTTTATATGTGTATGCTTCTAAACTGTTGTATTCTGAGCACCTCTGCAAAAACAGTGATAATGTGTGAGTGTGGTGAAAGTGTTGAATGATGATGAAAGTATTTTCTTTTTGGGGATTTCCTTTCTTTTTTGGGTCACCCTGCCTCGATGGGAGACGGCAGACTTGTTGAAAAAAAAAAAATAACATACCCCTCCAAACTGCCAATATCCCAAACCCCTCCTTTACAGTGTAGGCATTGTACTTCCCATTTCCAGTATTCAAGTCCGGCTATATAAAAATAACTAGTTTCCCTGAATCCCTTCACTAAATATTACCCTGCTCACACTCCAACAGCTCATCAGGTCCCAAAAAACATTCATCTCCATTCACTTCCATCTAACATGCTCACACAAGCTTGCTGGAAGTCCAAGCCCCTCACCCACAAAACCTCCTTTACCCCCTTCCTCCAACCTTTTCTAGGATGATCCCTACCCTGCCTTCCTTCCCCTACAGATTTATACGCTCTCCAAGTCATTCTACTTTGATCCATTCTCTCTAAATGACCAAACCAACTTAACAACCCCTCTTCAGCCCTCTGACTAATGCTTTTAGTAACTCCACATTGCACATATCAGAACTAATTTAAATGAATATTTGCAAAGCTGAAAATTACCAAATCCCTTTAAAAGCATTCACAATCAGCTATTTTGATCACCATAAAAGGAAGTGTTCAGCTAATTTACCATAAGTTCGAAACAATTTGTTTCCATTATAACACTATACAGTAAAAGGAAATACAGTATGGTATTTAGAAAATGTGAGCTGCTAAGCTATAATCTACGAAAAATTTTCATTCCAAAGTCAAACTTTGCAACACTTGAAATCAACTTAGTTTTACCACTGTGTGCATATGGGCCAATTTTACGTTTTTTAATGAAATAATTAACAATTAGTTGTCATTATGTTTTAAAATTATTTTATGGTAGTAAATAAGTTAATACCATAAAATAAGCCTTGTTTAAGATAATAAGTGGGGCTTTAAGGTAATAAGTGGGACCTTTTAAGATAATAAGTGGTACCCTTCTTAAATGCTCTCACCCTACAAAACCAAAACACTTGGCAGGAGATGCAACATCCCCCCCCCAATGAAAAGCAGGGGCACCACAAGTACCTGGAGTATATCTGGAGAGGGTTTTGGGGGTCAACACCCTTGCAGCCTGGTCTGAGACAACACAATAAGTGTCAGGGGCCCAAGACTGTTCAGCTGCCTCCCAGCATACCAATAGACCCCTGGCTGTCTTCAAGAAGCTGGACAGGCACCTAAAGTCAGTACTTGATAAGCTGAGTTGTGGTTCATAGGTCAGTTCATGAGCAACCAGCAGTAAAGCTTGGTTGATCAGGCCCTGATCCATCATGAGGCATAGTCATGGACTGGGCCGAAGGGGCGTTGACCCCCAAAACTCCCCTCCAGGTATACTCTAGATATACCCTAATGTTAGAATTTGACCACACCACTGAATTACACCTAGTTAAAGCAACTTGCAACCATTAAAAACTAAATTTGTCAATATTATAAAACTCCAAAAAGTTCATAAAAATCTCTTCAAGTACCCTGGTAATTAAAGTGGCCAACAATGGTTTCAATTCATGTTACAAGTAAGTGTTTCTAACTAATTTTGTGATGTTGTACAACTATGCATATACTTACTTGAATGACAGCACAGGGCCAACCTGGCTGAATATGTCACGGAGTTTCTCTTCAGTTGCTTCATATGGAATGTTACCAACTGTCAAAAAAAAAAAAAAAAATACTATCATTAAATACTGGTACCCCTTTACCCATGACATACTTGTGACTGGTTTTGAGGACTGTACCCTGACAACCTGGCCTCAGACGAGGGTTTTGCTTACATACAGTTTACTAATAATATACAATGGACCCCCGCATAACGATCACATCCGAATGCGACCAATTATGTAAGTGTATTTATGTAAGTGCGTTTGTATGTGTATGTTTGGGGGTCTGAAATGGACTAATCTACTTCACAATATTCCTTATGGGAACAAATTCGGTCATTACTTGCACCTGAACATACTTCTGGATTGAAAAAATATCGTTAACCCGGGGTCCACTGTACTGACAACTATATATTGCATCTCATGTTAATAAATTACATAGAGTATCACTCAAATTCAAATTCATTATCACAGGATACATCTTTTGTGCAAATATAAATGACATTTAATGTTGCACATGGAAAACTCGGGTTATGCAGAACATTTTGGACAAACTTAAACTTAACTTCAAGGCTAAAAGGACAATAAATATTTTATGTATACAGTATTGGTCATTAAGGTATGCCAAGTGGAAGGCACCTGGCATATAGCGCTTTAATATCCAAAGTAATGCCCTACCGTGGTATGTTTTTCTGTAAGACAAAAGTTATGTTGGCCTGGCAACTCTAGGTGGGATGTCTCAGGATTCCCTAAGGCTCCATGACATGAGCAATGGAAAGTTAATGATTATAAGAGACTCCCACCATACTGAAATAAACTGGGAAGATCTAGAGCCAAATGGAGATTGAAAATGAGAGCTAATTATGTAGTCAGAGGTGGCAATATAAAATTTTCTGGGTCAACATATGTGAGACACTGGCGGCATCCTAAGTGCCTTCTAGACTTGTGTAGCTGAATTTATGTCTGTGGTCCCCCCCCCCCATTCCATGGGGTCTTGAGTGCCGAGTTTGTCTGAAATTTTTAGGAATTAACAAATTAATGTGGAAAGAAGTCACTGACTTGAGACAATTGCACAGATCCCTGGATTACATATGGCAGGCCAACAACCAAAGCAAATATTATTATTGTTATTATAATCATGGGGGGTACTAAACCCATAGGATTATACAGAGCATGTGAGGGGGCATGGAAGGTATTCAGGCTCAATTCAGGGAACCAGAGCACAGATCCAATTCCTTAGATCAAGAGCCCCTCACCATTGTCAAGGAACTTCCCTTGAGGGGGGAAAGCAAATGACAGAAGCCATCAACGTGTGAGTGTATTCAGTGAGGACCTGGTTGTAACAGTTCCTTGAGAATGGTGATATGCCCGTGCCAAAAAAAAAAAAAAAAATCTAGGGGAAATACGAAAAACATCCCAACTAACATTGTTATTGTTCACCCGAATCTTTCACGCAATGCAGTGACTGTTATGCAAGACAATAAACACCCCCTATGAAAGCAAAAGACTCGGGAGATGATGCAACATCCCCCCAATGAAAAGCAGGGGTGCCACTAGCACGATAAGAGACAACACAAAAAGTGTCAGGGGCCCAAGACTGTTCAACTGCCTCCCAGCATACATAAGGGGGATTACCAATAGACCCCGGCTGTCTTCAAGGAGGAGCTGGACAGGCAACTCAAGTCAGTACCTGACCAGCCGGGCTGTGGTTCATATGTCGGGTTGCATGCAGCCAACACTAAGTCTGGTTGATCAAGCCCTGATCCACCATGAGGCCTGGTCACAGACTGGGCTACAGGGCTGTTGACCCCCAAAACCCTCTCTAGGTATACTCTCCAGGTATCCACAAAATCTGCTGCTCAGTGGCTTTGCAAATGTGAGGTACACTTTCTTTGATGACTGGCCAGGACACTATCCAGATATGAATCCCACAAAGAACCTCTAGATTGAGACAGAGATCTACTGGGGGTAGGATATCAGCTCACTCCAATAACTTTAAGATGACATCTGTGAATCTTGGTGAAATTTACCACATGAAACCCTGAAGAATGTACATTAATCACTCCCTAAGCAGTTGAAGGATGTCCTTAAGCAAAAAGGATGACCTATTTTGTGGTCATGGTTTAATAAGTTTATTTAGGCACAAATCTACATAAATAAAATTATCATACATAGTAAGATATGTGGAAATTACCTAGGATAACCCAAAAAAGTCAGAGACAAAATGGGGAGGGGGGCAGCACACTTTAATGATGAGCACTGTATGTATACAAAGACATTAATGATATACATGTATAGAATAAGATAGATAAGATTTTGTTCAGATTTTTAACCCCAGAGGGTTAGCACCCAGGATAACCCACGAAAGTCAGTGCGTCATCGAGGACTAACTTATTTCCATTGGGGTCCTCAATCTTGTCCCCCAGGATGCGACCCACACCAGTCGACTAACACCCGGGTACCTATTTGCTGCTAGGTGAACAGGGCAACAGGTGTAAGGAAACATGTTGAAATGTTTCCACCTGCTGGGAATCGAACCCGGGCCCTCCGCGTGTGAAGCGGGAGCTTTAGCCACCAGGCCATGTGTGCATATGACTAACATATGCACACATGTAAGTAAATAAAAGCATAGCATGGTACATGTCAGTAAAAAATATTGAGTTAAAAGTTCAATCAAATAAGTTCAGGTAACTTTTTTTTTTTTACATTAGGGGACATTCAATACAATAACTGTCTGGATACAATGATTATTCCAAATAACAGATTAGTACAGTAGCTCTATAAGTTTATTCAGGTACAGGTGCACATAAATAATTACATAAATTATCATACATAGCAGCAACTGTGCAGATTACCTAGGATAACCCAAAAAAGTCAAGTGACTTATTTCCAATGGGTCTATCACAGCATCATGACCAAAAAATCACATACCATAAAACTACAGGCAGTCTATTATTATTATTACAATCAAGGGGGAAGCGCTAAACCCGGAGGATTATACAGCGCCTGGGGGGTATGTGGAAGGCATTCAGGCTTAATTTGGGGAACTGGAGCACAGATCCAATTCCCTAAATCAAGAGCCCCTCACCAACATCAAGGAACCTTCCTTGAGGGGTACAGGCAGTCTAGATATCAAAGGGTTTTAAAGATTATTACTAAGTTAAAACCTTTAGGCTCTGTAACCAGGTTCAAGTATTGGTGTGAATTCTTAATGATTTGTCTCAATGAGTCATTCAAGTTTTCATTCGTCAAACTGAGACCTGTAAATATACACAACTCTGAACCCTTATTTATTTATCAGTCTGCTACCAACCAAAGACTGAACGAAGAGATTTCTCCACGACTGCACTCGTCTCACTCATTTTGGCAGAAGGAGACGAGGAGGGCACCAAGGAAATTAAATAATTGAGGAAGACTTTCTCTGGCGTGGGTTAAGCTCCACAACAACAAGCTGCCTCCTGGGGCCTCCCACCCACTCCTTCACATCCACCACCTGCTTCTTTCTGCCTTACTTACTCTCCTCTTTACCTACCTCGCTATCCCTTATATTAGGATAGGTAAGGTTTGTCAGGAAACAGGACGAGTGTTTCCTGACACGGGTCTTAGTTAGATGATGACCCACCTTTGGAGCTTTGGTCATCTGACCGAGGCCTTCCGCTGGCTTACCGGTCCACCCCTTTAAAAATTATGGTGTTATAACCATTTTAAGTTTCGCTATCCCTTATATTAACCTCACTATCCTTTATACCAGCTTCGTTCTCCCTTATACCGACCTCACTCTCCTTTCTACCAGCCTCACTCTCTCTCATCCCAGTCTCACTCTCCTTTTTTTTTTTTTTACACAGGGTTTGACAAGGTTAGGTTAAGGATCCCTAGCATTATTGACAAGCTATTTACAGGTTAAGGATTCCTAACTTTATTGGCAAGATAAGAGCTGTTACCTACATCAGCTCATTTGAAAGCATTTTTATTGTTATGAGACATACAAGTAGGCATCAGGATGAAGTTGGAGCCATCTGTGAGCCAGCATTTTCATTTGATCAACTGACTTTATCTCGTTGACATCATTATGCTGTACGAATGTGTTCCATACTCGAGTCATCCTGGGTATATATGATCTCAGATGGAGTGATGTTCTGGAGAAGGGTACAGCCAGAGTGAAGTTGCTGCTTTCTGCCCGTCTTGTGGCATAAAAGCTTGTTTCACGTTGTCCTCGAAGTGGATCCAAGTGTAGTACTTTGACAGTATTGGTCTTGTACATAACAGTAAGGCCACCCACATCCCTCCTGTGTTGAAAGCTCTGCTGAAATGACAGATCTATCCAGGATGAGTCCAGGCGAGAGATGAGACGTCTTGCTCTGTTCTCTACTCTGTCAAGCCTTTCTACCAGCCTCACTCTCATCCCAGCCTCACTCTCCTTTCTACCAGCTTCACTCTCTCTCATACCAGCCTCACTCTCTCTCTCATCCCAGCCTCACTCTCCTTTCTACCAGTCTCACTCTCTCTCAACCCAGCCTCACTCTCCTTTCTACCAGCCTCACTCTCTCTCACCCAGCCTCACTCTCCTTTCTACCAGCCTCACTCTCTCTCATCCCAGCCTCACTCTCTCTCATCCCAGCCTCACTATCTCTCATCCCAGCCTCACTCTCCTTTATACCAGCCTCACTCTCTCTCATCTCAGCCTCACTCTCCTTTCTACCAGCCTCACTATCTCTCATACCAGCCTCACTCTCTCTCATACCAGCCTAAGTAAGTAAGTTTATTCAGGTATACACAAATACAGTTACATAGATTATCATACATAGCAGCATATGTGTAGATTAGATTAGATTTTGCCACCGAAGTGGCTAGTTTATTGTGCACCCCATATCCATCCTGTGGACGGTAGCGCGAGAGCATATGGATACACAAAAGGCCTAGGAACTAGGCCCCAAAGGGTTAACAGGAATACATATGGATTTATATCTACATATCTATAGTTCACTTATCTGTTACAAGCAAATTTAGGAAATTTGCTTAGTATATCTGGTATCTTATTTTCATTAATAAGATATCTTGACATGTCACATAGGTTATTATACTGTCTGTCTCTGTATTCCTCAATAAGTGGACAATTAAGCACATAGTGTTCAAGAGAGTGACCATATGCCTGATCACATAATTTACATTTAGTTTGATCATCATCTGTGTGTCTCCCAAACTGCCAGAAGTACTTGTAACCAAGCCTAAGTCTGGCCATATTTCTACACCATAGGAAGGTTAGCATAAGCACCACTGTGACCTAGGAATAAGGTGGTAGGAATAGGGTGGTAGTCAAAAGGTTACAGAGGTACATAATGGGCCCAGGGACTGGGCCCCAAAGTTTTGATAGCTGAACAAGTTACAAAGGTAATGAACTCCAGGTAGATCTGGTCACAATCATGACAAGTTACAAAGGTATTTACTTTGTTTTATAATAAAATTTATGAAAGTCCTATAAGTGAACATCGTATTAAAGCGGGTCGAGACCTCGTTCACATCCACCGTGAAGCTGGGTGATATATTTTTATAGTTTATTATATTATGAAAGTAAGCAGATTGTTATAAACTACATAGATATAATATTGAATATCATTTCTGAAACACATTCCAGAATCTTTAATTAGCTGGTAGCATTTCAGTTAAGTTAGATTATATATAGTATTTAATAACTCCTCATGGGAAGTATTGTAGACTAATACAATTTATAGGCATAAGGGAATATATATTAATCAAATGAAAATAATAAAAAAGAAGAATAATGAAGCTAAAGCTAAATTAGTATTAAAAATAAGTGATTATAATTATGAAGGTGGATGACCGCAGCCAAAACAGACAACTTGGCAGAAGTTGACAAGGAGAAGCCACTAATAATATTCACGGTGAGTTTTACTTAGACTTATCACCTGCACACTTCAAGTCAGTTTAGGAATTGACACTGAAGGATGGGTATGATAAATAGTCGCCATGGATACCTTATGGCGGTTAATTTTCAATAACAGACTGTAGGTAAGGGCGGGTCTCACACAGCAACAGATACCCAAGTAGGCGAGACATTTTTAAGGAAATTACTTACAGGAGAGAGCCGGAGGGATAGAAAACTCGTATATAATACATATTCCTTTTTACCACAGGGTTACCTAAGGCTTAATCTACTAGCTATCCCCCCGTGTTATTGTCAACCTTTTAATTTGTTAATTTGTAATGACAACATCTAAGATTAAGATTTTTATTTTGACAAATTACATGATTGTACAGAGGAATATAATAGTTGGGTGTACATGCCAAAAGCTCCTTTGTATGCAGAGCATTTCGGGCAAACTTAAAGATTAACTTGAGTAAGGAAATAATACATAGTTGCAGCGCTGTATAGCCCTTGTGGTTTAGAGCTTCTTTTTTATTATAATAATACATAGTTCATATGGTCGTCAGATGAGTTACAGTGAGTACAGGAGAATTAAAAACTATATCATGTGATGCTACATGCTTTTGATAAGTCTAGTAGAGACTTGTTGCACTATTGAATTAGTTAATAAAGATTACAGTATTACAATGTAACAATTTAAAACAATTTACAATGTGATGTATTACAGTTTAGTACTATTTAAAACAATGAAATTTGGTATTACACTGGAACAGTTTACATTATGATGTACTGTATTATAATCTACTACTATTTAAAACAATGAAAAAAACAGACATCCTAATTTCAAAGTAGTAAGTGGTTGAGCATTCATCAGCACAATATGAGCAGCTGTTGAGAAGCTGGTAGTGATTAGGTATGATTTGTCTGGTTAGTTTTGGCTGATGAGGTGATTTCTTATTTGGGTCTTAAACTGATTTGCAGACAGAGGTCCTTTAGTTTGTTCTGTCAATGAATTCTAATTCTTTGGGCCTTTTACGTGCATAGCATTTTTGCATGGAGAGAGATGAACATGGGGGATATTGAAGAGTGATCTGTGTCTCGTATTATGGTTGTGTGTTCTGTTATAGTTATCAAGGAGGAGTTTGAGAGTATAGTGTTCTGTGTATATAGTAGGCACAATAATAAGTGTGAATATTTTGTATATTTAGCAAGTTAAGACTTGAAAAGAGGTGGAGTGTGTCTAATGCAGGAGTTAGTAATCAGCTTTTTTCTGAGTTATTAAAGGCTTAGGGTGATTTGCTGTGGTTGAACCCCATGCACAAATACCATAGATGTGGTAAGGGTAAATGAGAGAGTGGTACAAAGCTAGAAAAGCTGATTGGGGTACATAGTACCGTATCTTTGAAAGTATGCCTACTGTTTTGGAGACTTTCTTGGAAATTTGCTGTATTTGTGTCTGAAATTTGAGACTGCAGTCAAGGTGGAGACCTAGAAATTTGCCCTCTGCCTGTCTCAAGATAGGTGAAACATTTATCAATATGTTTACCTGTACATTTGAAGCTCTGTTTCCAAAAAGCATGAAGTAGGTTTTGTTCATGTTGAGAGTAAGTTTGTTGGTAATCGTCCAAGTAGATATTTTAAGTAGTTCAACATTTACTGTCTGTTTGTATGGTTGGGTTTGGGTGAGAAAAGACACAAGTTGTCATCTGCAAATAAAATGGGTTTAAGGGTAACCCCAAAAAAGTTAAGACAAGGTGACTTATTTCCATTTCCTACCTATATATATTTGGTCAGCCCACAGCACCTTTTAATGGGGAGGGCAATAAAACCTCAGCACATTGATTGGTAATTGTTTACATTTTCCTGGACAGAGATTCTTAATTCTTTTAAATTATAAATAACATTCCTGGGTCAATATGTACTTTACAAGGCCTGGTCACAGACTGGGCTGCAGTGGGCATTGACCCCTGAAACCCCCTCCAGGTATACTCCTGGTTGTTTTTATTTTATCTAATTTCTTCAAAATTGTGTTGTGCTATAGTGATATATATATATACAGTATAAAGTATTTAGTGCCTATTAGAAGAGATCCTTTTCTGTACAACCTAACCTAATTTGACCAAACTTAATCTAACCGACAACCTAGGACAAGTGACTGACTGACTTATTTTTTCCCCATGGAATTGATAACATGGTTGTTATTTATATCAAATAATGGATGTCTGTCCCAAGAAAAAAATGTACTTAATGACCCATCTATGCTATCCATTCCTGGGGAAAAGTCGTTTGTGGAAATTGCTTAGGTGAAAATAGGCAAATAATATAATTTATGTAATTTTTTTTTATTAACTAGGTATTGAAATGGAAATGATTGTATTTTGGACAAATAGAAAAGAAGACTTATTTTTTTTAAGTTAATTAATGTAACTGAACCTAATCTAGTCTAAACTAGCTGTAAAATTGTTGGTTAGGTTGGGTAACATTGGGTTAGGCCATATGAACAAAAAAAATTTTTTTTGTTTTGCACCTAGGTGTAAAGTAAACATTGATTCATAGATTACAAGATCAAATAGTACCCTGGGTGTTAGTAGGCTTGTTGATCACATTCTTGGGAGGATCAGTGGACCCCAGTGGAAAGATACAAGAATGACTTCAGAATTTCTATATAGGAAGGATTTGCGGGGTGGCGTTGTAGTTAGAAGGGGATCTATGAGCCTAGTCTTGAAGCTGCATTTGCAGAGCAAACCCTGTTTTTACTCCGTATATTACAAATCGGTTATAATAGCAAAGTTTTGTAAAGATGCTTTTGTTCACACTTCATGAGTGAAAGAATTTTAAACATTCTTTGCTGATTTATTATGATTACATATAACTGTTATTTATTATTGTTCCTATTAATATTTTATTTTTATTATTGGTAGTACAGTATTTATTATTTGGGGTGCCATTGGCCATGCATTGGGGCTTTCTTGGGTTATCATGGATTACTAACCCAACCCCTCGAGCTAATCTGAGTAAAATCTATAATCTCCCTATATTAAACACACGTACAGTGGTACCTCGGTATACGTCCGCTTTGGAATAAGTCCAACTTGGAATACATCCTGTTTGGACAGGGAAATTTTTGCTTGGTATATGACCTTTGTTTGGAATACGACTCGCGTGCTAGAACTTGTATGGGTCAAAATGAGTCATGATACTGCGCGCTACCCTTGGTTTACCCCTCTCTCGAGACAAAGCCACGACTGCCCACTGGCGTCAGTATGCCTGTTGCTACCATTCAGTGAACAACCCACACAAACTCCGAGAATTTTCTTGTGATTTTGTGTTTTCGTATAAATTTTTAGTAAATTCATAAACCATGCATTCTAAGAAAGTTAATGAGAAGAGCCAAGCAACGAAGAAAATGGTTAGGATCATCATGGAGGTGAAAAAAGAGGTTGTTGAAAAGTATGAAGGTGGCATGTGTATCCGGGACTTGGCTGCTGAATGCCGTATGCTGAGAACAATGGTATCTACGATTATGAAAAACAAAGATGTTATTAAATTGGCAAACGTTGCAAAGGGGGTGAAATTGATTACCAAACAAAGATCAGAGACATTAGAGCATGTTGAAAAATTGCTTTTGATCTGGATAACAGAAAAACAGTGTGCCAGTGATAGCATATCAGAGGCAGTGATTTGTTAAAAGGCAAAAACTGATGAATGCTAGTCTTTTGAAAAACAAAGCAGGGATGAGCCAAGAAAGTGAAGCGTTTAAAGCCAGCCGTGGCTGGTTTGATAATTTTAAAAAGAGGACTGGCATTCAGTGTTGTGAAGACTTTGAAGGCTTTGAGGCTGTCTATAGTGGAGGATATTGTCTCTCTGGGCAGGTCCATGGCTCTGGATGTGAGTGATGGTGATGTGGAGTTAGTGGAGGGGCACAGAGAAGAGCTGACCACTGAAGAGCTGCAGGCACTTGAGAAGGAGGAGCACAAGACTAAGATGGATGCATTCTGAAGAGATAGAAGAAGCCCCTACTTCATGAATCGAGGAAAGCTTTGTCAAATGGATGGACATCAAAAACTTTGCAGAGAAGTACCACCCCAACAAAGTCCAAACAAGCCATAATAGCGTTGTCTGGAAAGACCAGATGATGTCACATTTCCGAACATCCTGTGGAGAAGGCAGAAGCAAAGTTTTTTGGACAGATTTTTAGTAAAAGTCGAACCTGGTGAGCTTCAACCAGGTCCAAATAGGGAAAGGAGATAGAAAAGAGAAGAGGACTCTCCTTCCAAACAATAACATTTCCTCCTCCTCCTCCTCCCTTCTCAGCACTATCCTAGTAGGTACTCGATTCTTTTCAGCAAAGTCAAGTGATGTTAAATTTACATTAATTTCATCTAATTCTTTTGTATTCATGTATGTATTTTAGTATTAAGCAGTGTTTAAATTACATATTTTAGTATTAAGCAATGTTTAAATTATTTTATGCAGCCCCATCAGTGTATAATATGGGATTTTTTTTTCATGGGAATGAATTAATCGTTTTCCCTATATTTCTTACGTGAAAATTCGTTTGGTACACTTCCTGTTTGGTACAAGTCCAAGGTCCTGGAACGGATTAAGGACATATACCGAGGTACCACTGTACAGTGGACCCCCGCTTAACGATCACCTCCAAATGCAACCAATTATGTAAGTGTATTTATGTAAGTGCGTTTGTACGTGTATGTTTGGGGGTCTGAAATGGACTAATCTACTTCACAATATTCCTTATGGGAAAAAATTCGGTCAGTACTAGCACCTGAACATACTACTGGAATGAAAGTTCGTTAACCGGGGGTCCACTGTATTTGTTTTCATACATAAATGAAATTAAAATAAATTATAATTTTTTATTGCTGATCGAAGTTGCCTAATTACATTTGTGATAATCTTTTGTATTTGCTTCTGCTTTTTCTCAGCACTAAGACACTAGTTCATTGGGTTGCTATTAACAATGCCTTCTATGCAGAATAAGACATTACAAAGTCAATCTTTTTATATAGGATTGATATTATATTTATATGTACTTTGCAAATTCAATAATTAATGAAAATATAAAATTCATGAAAATGTAAAAGGCTTAAGGGCTAGGTAAGGAATTAACAGAGAAAGGGAATTTGTAGATAACAGATAGGTGTTGTTTCACCTACTCTCGTATGCTTTCCCCCCCCCCCCCCTCAAGGGAGGTTCCTTGATGCTGGTAAGTGTTCTTGATCTAAGGGATTGGACCTGTGCTCCCCTTCCTTCATTTAAACTACAATGCCCTCCATTGCCCTAGGCACTGTGTGACTTTTATGGGTTTAGCACTTCCCCATGAATGTAATAACACTGTGCTTTTCATCTCTGACATTTGTTCCCTGGTTGAAAATTTTGTACAATATTACTTACTACATGTGAATAAGTAAGGCTACAAAAAAAATTCACTGCTTCAGATAGATGTGTAAATGGCCTCAATAAAACACACTTTTAAGATGTATTAAAGATGGCTGCTTATTTGGAGAAAGACATATGTATGTACATATATTCACAGGTGTCATAAAGCATCTTTGGAATGGGAAATTGTTAGGTCCAGTGAAGGGAAGCATAGCTCAAATTCTGTGAATCAAAGCCTGTTGCTGGCCTTGAGGCACTCCTTGGACAGGGTATGAATACAGTACTATATGTAAAATACAATATTTCTATTGATAATGTTAAAGCTAATGATTTACAGTATTGTCTTTGTAAAAAATAATATAACACCATAGTTTATTATATTGTACTTGAGCACCTACCTCCTATATTCCTTACTGTTATTGAATTTACAGCTTTCCAGACTATGCTTGCAGTTTACATATTTTTTCAAAATGCCACTCCTTATGTCCACTGCTAATTTGCAGCTGTTTATTACTACATTACATTTATTTTATTTCATTATTTATAATTATCAAAGCATTTGCCTGGAAATTTGCCTAGAAATATATGTCAACTGTATTGTTGACTGTTTTGGAAACCCTTTTAAGTGCTGTACCTTCACTCTTGTTCGGAATATTCTTAAATTTTCATATTTTTATTGTATGCTTTTCCACACAGATCCACTTATATAACTTTTTAAAGTTTAATTGAACCCTCAGAACTCCCCATAAGGTATGCAGTATTACTTATGAACAGAATAGAGGAGCCCTGCAGTGTGCCTATTGGCTTATGCTAGGCAGGTCTTTCTCACATACAACCATTCTTGATCATATAACTGCCATAACCTATTAAAGCTTCTCAAGATATTAGTTTCAGTGATGGTACTTCGTAACTTGTTCTACTCGTCATCTCTTTGGAGAAGACAACTTTTATTCATATTAGTAATCCTGGAAGGTTGATAATCGTGTATAACCCAAGAAAGCCAAGCAATGTGAATTATTTCTGTTGGTATCCTTTTTTGGGATCTACTCAGGATGTAACTCATAACAGTAGACTAACTCCAAGGTATCTGTTTACTGCTTGTTAACAGGCAGATGTTGGAAGACTTGCCCACATTTTCTGCCTCTCAGAATTTGGCTCTGGATACCTAAGACTGCAGGTCAAATGTGCTTCTCCTGCACTTCTGCAACAAGGTGCCTTTATCATCCCTTGATGATGATAAAGGAAATTGTTTGTTACCTTAAAGAATCTGGTTACTCCTTCTTTCAACTCGGCCAGTACACTGGTTCCCTTTCTGATGGCTTTCAGTTTATTTAAGTGATTAAGGTAGGTCTTTTGGGTAGGTAAGGTGAGAGCTCTTCAAAGTTATACTTCTCAGTAGTATCCCTTGCCACCCCAAATTGTCCGAGTACATTGTACAGTAACCGCATCTCTGGAAAAAATATTCCCTGGCGCTTGTTGATGTAGTTGGCAAGTGAAGGAAATTAGCACTCTTTGATAGTCTTCTACTCCTCGGGTAACTAATAGTTACTGCACTTTTCAAATTCCAGAACAATAAATATATCTTTTCAGAATGTGATGCTTTAAACATCTTGAAAGGCTGCTCTTAAATGCTTCTAAATTGTGAAATATATACATGTATGTGGAAAACCCTGGGCGTATGAGCTGAAGGAAAACTGTGGAAGGCTTTCTTTTATGGCATTTGTAAAACTTGTGCAGCATTTAAATTTAATTACGTATACTTTTGTTTTGACAGTTTTTCGTCTTTGAAAGTGGAATGAATACCTCTTCAAGCTCTAAATCTTTTCAGCATTTTTAATTAAAATTTCTTTGATAAGCATTTTAAATCTCTGTTGAATGAACAGTGCTTTGTGATGGTTACTTTATAAGCAAATTCTTAACGTGTGTTAAGACAATTAAGTTCTAGCTTTATTTTAAAAACGCACTTGATTGCAGATGTCATACAGCTGGGATCAACAGCAGCAGCCGTATGGGAGTGGTTGGGGAGACCAAGGAAGCTTTTCTTATGACATGGGCTCTTCAGATTTTGGACAGGAGCAACAGTTTCAAAATTTTGAATATAACAATCAACAAAATCAAGGAGTATCTAACCCATCTGCTTCTTACAATAGTGGAGGTGGCCAGCCATCCACATTCTTTACACCAGGACCTTCCATCATGACACCAGGCATGAGTCCAGAATCCCCTGTTGAAGATACTTATTCTTTGGAGGATGAACCACCATTATTAGAGGAATTAGGAATTAACCCTGATGCTATTGTGCAGAAAACTCTTACAGTTCTTAACCCAATGCGTAGAACTGATCCTACCATACTTCAAGACACAGACTTAGCTGGACCTCTGGCATTTTGTTTGGCTTTTGGTAGTTTTCTATTACTCTCTGGTAAAGCCCAGTTTGGATACATATATGGCATTGGACTGCTGGGATGCATTTCTATGTATGGACTCTTAAATATGATGTCAATGTCAGGAGTGAGCTTAGGTGTAGTTGTAAGTATATTGGGTTATTGCTTGTTACCTATGGTGGGTCTAGCTGGCATAAATGTTTTAGTGTCTTTACAAGGGCCTATGGGTATTGTACTCACTGGAGCAGCAATTTTGTGGTGTTCCATATCTGCATCAAAGTTGTTTGTAACAGGCTTATCCATGGACCACCAACAGCCTTTAGTTGCTTATCCATGTGCACTTCTCTATGCTGTATTTGCTCTCATTACCATATTTTAAGTGAATGTATGCTTATCTAATATAAGAATTTGGAACAAACTTATTTTTTCTTTCAAAAGTAACCTGACCTCGTATCCTTACCCAAATAAACGAGCTTCAACTTGTTTGAAAGATTCACAATGTGTGAATGAAATTCAATTCTGTAATTGCCCATCTTTTTATTTGTTTGTTTTACAGTAACGCTTGATAGTGATGTTTTATATACAGTAGTGCACATCATACATTAAAAACAATGAACTTTTATATGAAGTTCACATGTTTTAGAACCTTTTGTCATTTTCTGTTACGTGTGGATTATGTATAAATGTTTGCATAATGTTGCTGTTAACCTTATCCACCCTTTAAGTAGCTGCTATACTTATTCAGTAATCCCTCTCATTATTCTCACAAATAAAATTTTCTCTGAATCTGAAATTTTCTTTCAAAATTGAAGCATATATATTCTATTTTAAATCTAATTTGCCCAATAGCACAACTTTAGAAAAAGTCTGAACAAAAAGTGCTTTCTAAAATTATTGTAAGTGGTCTTTTTTTCTTCAGAAAAAATCAGCTTCATTTTGGGAATCTCTTATTTTTCATCTTAAAGTATTTACTATAAAATTATGCATGTATACCACATGATATATTTTAGATTATAACTGCCATTTCAGTATCATTCAATTTTTTTTTAATAACTATTAAAGAAACCCTTTAATCTTTATTCCCTTGAATGCTGCTACCTTGAGGTGTGTATCCTGTGGAATCTTTTGTATATACAATAAAGGATTTCATATGTTTGTCTTTAGGCATTTGAAAGAGCAATTAAAAAAATTGAGAATGCTCAAAAATCACACTCATTAGCCAGCTGCTATAAAAGTGTAGTTTGAAATATTAGAATTAATTACCACCCCCACACACAACACAACACACCACACACACACACAACACCCACCACACACACACACACACACACACACACACACACAACACATAACACAACACACACACACACCTAATACTAATATATTTTTTCAGGAAGCACTAACTGAGGAAATCAGTAAAGTGCCTGCAGGAAGGGAAGGAAATCATGTTAAATCCAAGGAAGGGGAGGACATGCTCAATTCCTTGGATCAAAAGTCCCTCACCAGTGCCAGGCAAGGCTGGCAGTACGGCACAGCATTTTTTTGTTTTTTTGTTCCCATCAAATACTGTGGTGTAATTTTGTACCATACTTAACACAAATCACCTGTACTGTACCATTCTGCCAGCCTTGACATCAAGGAACCTCCCTTGATGGGAGTATTAATATCAAGGGTTTAATTTTTTAATGTAATTTGCAGATCTTTGTGGATAATGCCAATTTAGTCAGTAATTACCCCTGTTGTGAAATTTCTAGTTGTAGGGGGAGGGGGAAATGAGGTACATATTGTACTGTATATATTTTCCTTGTAAATATACTCTAAAATCAGCAGTGTACAAAAAAAAATTAAATACACAGTAGTCCCTTTATGATGAGAGTATATATAGTTAATGAATCATCATAGCTAGATTGAAATCTTGTAAGTTTTTTAAATCATGCTACCATAAAAATATATTCTTTATAATAAATTTGTTTACATTTCCAATCCTTTTTGTTGCATATAGTATACCAAATTTATAATCTCAATCACTATCTTGGTAAAAAGGTATGTGCATGGTACAGTACTAAATCTATAGGGAATCAGACCACATCTGGGAAATATGTAATTAAGAGTGGGCCAAGGGGAGAAAAGCTCCAGTTCCTTGGATCAAGAATTTCAATGACATCAAAGAACCCCTTGAAGTGTTGTTAGGCATGTTAATAATGTAAATTTATTTTAGCCCATTGATTTTTTTCAGTAAGCATTATATTTTAGAAAGTGTAATTAATGTATTTGTGTGTTGAAACTGATATACAGTGATATAAATTTTTCAAATTTAGAAGATTCCAAATACATTAAAAAAAAAAAAAAAAAAAAAAAAAAAAGCTAATCATTCGTACAAACAATACCACTGGGAGAAAATGGAACATGGTAAGAGAAGTACAATACTGGGCTGTATATCTGAGCCTACCATTGAGATCCTCTTCAGGAAAATAAGCATGTATGTATTACAGATTATACACACATTTAGGGGGAATTACTAAACCCATAGGGGTCATACATACTTGTGGAACATGAGGCAATTACATTTGATCCAAGGAAGGGGAAAGTCTAGTTCTTGAATCAAAAGTACCTCACATGATGGCATCAGAGTTTCAGCAGATAAGTCAGGTTCAGAAACTAGGTTAACTGGAGGAATAGGTCCTTACCTTTCCTTGGGTCAAACCTGTTTGCTGCCTTCCATTCCACAAGTTCTGTATGTACCCTTGTGGTCTAGCACTTCCCTCTAAAAATAACAGTACTATGGTACTGTAATTCAGTAAATTTTTTTAGCTGGTATTGTTTTTCTATATTCCTCCACATGGCACTGTATTGTGGTCAGGAATGAGACAATGAAATCACTTGTGTTTCTGCCATTTTTCTTATTGATTGGTTCTAAATTAACCACCAGTAGTAGTGACTCTTACTTGTACCCTTTTTTGTATGAACTACTATTCTGGATAGCTCTTTCGAATTGTGCAGTGATGCTGTTTTCTTGTTCTAATGTGTTGTGGACTATCTAATCAGTGCCCATATTAAAAATCCTGAGACTACATTAATCTTAATCTTAATCTGGTTATAATGGTGGCTAAAGAAATGTAATTGACTGGATGTGTTGGTTTAAGGCATTCAAATGAATTTGGCAGCAAAAATGGAAAGTGAAGGTACTGGGAAGATGGAAGGAATATTTTGAGAGGAGCTGTTAAATATTGAAGGGATGCAGCGATTTCATTCAGGGATGTACATCTTGTAGGAATAGGAAAGGGCTAGATAGGAGTATGGGGAAGTTGCTGGAGGCAGTGTGTAAAATGAAAAGGGTAAAACAGTTGGGACAGATGGAATTAAGGCAGATATAAGAAGCATATAGTCAGACTTGAGTCCTGGAAATGGGAAGTACAATGCCTGCACTTTAAAGGAGGGGTTTGGGATATTGGCAGTTTGGAGGGATATGTTGTGTATCTTTATATGTGTATGCTTCTAAACTGTTGTATCCTGAGCACCTCTGCAAAAACAGCGATAATGTGTGAGTGTGGTGAAAGTGTTGAATGATGATGAAAGTATTTTCTTTTTGGGGATTTTCTTTCTGTTTTGGGTCACCCTGCCTCGGTGGGAGACGGCCAACTTGTTGAAAAAAAAAAAAAAAAAAAAAAAAAGCAGGTGGTGAAATACTCTTGGAGTGGTTGGTATATTTGTTCGGTATACACACGAGAGGGAGGAAGGGTACAAAGGGATTGACAGAGCACAAGCATCCTTCCTTTACATAAAGGTAAAAAGGTGACAAAAAAGAAAGAGTAAGAAATATAGAGTAATAAGCCTCTTGAGTATACTGGATAAAGTGTACAATAGAATAATTATTAAAAACTAGAAGACAATAGGACTGCAGAGAAACAAAAGTTTAGGAAGGGTTGGCCCCTCAAGGAAGGTTCCTTGATGTTGGTGAGGGGCTTTTGATTTAGAGAATTGGATCTGTGCTCCAGTTCCCCGAATTAAGCCTGAATGCCTTCCACATCCCATCCCCCAGGCGCTGTATAATCCTCCGGGTTTAGCGCTTCCCCCTTGATTATAATAATAATAATAATAATAGGAAGGGTTGGGGATGTGTAGACAGTGTTAATGGTATATTGAAGCATACAACTAGACAATAGATAAAGGCATATGATAGGATAATGTTGCAAATGAATAAACCAAATAGTAGGTTATTAAAAGCAGTAGAGATTTTATGTGGATAGAGGCTCAGGTTAGGATATGCAGGAGGGGCATTATTTTCCAGTAAAAGCAGGGATTACAAGGATGTGTGATGTCACCATGGTTTAGCATATTTACAGATGGGGTTGTAAGGAGCAAGTGCTTAGGTGTTATAGAGGTGTGGGAGTAAAGGATAATGAATTTGAATGTGGGAGTTATCACATTTGCTTTTGCTGATGCTACAACTCTTGGGACATTCTGAAGTTGCAAGGTTGGTGGATGAATTTAAGAAAGTATGTAATTGAAGGAAATTAAAAGAAAAGGGCTAAGTGATGAAAGAAATAAAGAAAACCTAGGCAATGAAAGATTGGGGGAAGATTTTTTTTTTTTTTTTTTTTTTTAACAAGTTGGCTGTCTCCCACTGAGGCAGGGTGACCCAAAAAGAAAGAAAAAATCCCCAAAGAGAAAATACTTTCATCATCATTCAACACTTTTACCTCACTCACAGATAATCATTGTTTTTTCAGAGGTGCCTAGAATACAACAGTTAAGAAGTATATACGTATAAAGATACACAACATATCCCTCCAAAATGTCAATATCCCAAACCCCTCCATTTCCAGGACTCAAGTCCGGCTATATAAAATAACCAGTTTCCCAGAATCCCTTCACTAAATATTACCCTGCTCATACTCCAACAGCTCGTCAGGTCCCAAATACCATTCGTTTCCATTCACTCCTATGTAACACGCTCGCGCACGCTTGCTGGAAGTCCAAGCCCCTCGCCCACAAAACCTCCTTTACCCCCTCCCTCCAACCCTTTTGAGGATGACCCCTACCTCTCCTTCCTTCCCCTACAGATTTATATGCTCTCCATGCCATTCTACTTTGAGCCATTCTCTCTAAATTACCAAACCACCTCAACAAACCCTCTTCAGCCCTCTGAGTAATACTTTTATTAACTCCACACCTTCTCCTAATTTCCACACTCCGAATTTTCTGCATAATATTTACACCACACATTGCGCTTAGACAGGACATCTCCACTGCCTCCAACCACCTCCTCGCTGCAGCATTTACAACCCAAGCTTCATACCCATATGTGTTGGTACCACTATACTTTCATACATTCCCTTCTTTGCCTCCATAGATAACGTTCTTTGTCTCCACACATACCTCAATGCACCACTCACCTTTTTTCCCTCATCAATTCTATGATTAACCTCATCCTTCATATACTGTATTTAGGATCTATAAAAGATAAGGCGATTCACATTATGGATAAGGGTAAAAAAGGTACAGTGCCTGCACTAGCAGTTTGAGGATGTTGCAGTTCAGAGGGTCGTCCAAATTGTAATGCCAGCACATTTGTGGCAAGGTAGCAATTGAGTGAATTCATTTTGGGGGAGGGGGGGGGGACGTCATAACTGTAGTGGGAGATGGCTGGTTTTAAAAATTATACAATACCCCATAATCTTTTATATTGTATCTTGGATTTTTTCTCATCCATATTCTGGAATTTTCTTCTCTAACACTGTTGTAAATTATTAGAAAAAGTATTTTACTGGTATTTACAGAGTAAACAAATATATAGAAGACTGTAAAGGATAATGTCAAATTCTTAAATCATTCCTAACTAAATCACAATAAACAAGTTTAACATGCAACACTAAAAATATCTCATCACTGGTTAGGGTAGAAAAAAAAACCCGATAAAAGTTAATGTTAAGTGAGTACATTTATACATAATGAATTACATGATTAAAGGGTACAAAAAATTTAAATTGAATAAAAATACAGTGTACTGCTAAAACATAATTCCATGTCAAACCAAAACTGCATTTATTTTCTAGACCAAACGCTGTAGGTATATTTAACTAGTAAATCACTCTTACTCTTGACAGTCATGTATAAATGTTGATTAAATAATGTGCCTTCACCTATTACTTGAAATTTAAGTACAATACAATGAACAGGAAAAGCATGGGCTTTAAAAACAGACACTACAGAGGGACATCACAATTTAACATTGGCTTCTCAAGGGTTAAAGTGAATTCGCTGCCCACACAATATTTTACTAAGTTAAAATAGTCCTAATCATTTTAGATTCATATGTACAACTTTATTAAATTATTATTATTATTATAATCAAAAGGAAGCGCTAAGCCACAAGGACTATACAGCTACTTTATTAAAGAGTTTTACTCCTTGTTTAAATTTGTCTGAAAATAAAAGAATTGTTAACTCATCTTTTCAACTCTTGTACCCCCCCCCCCCTTTTTTTTTAATGTACATAGACAAACCCTTTCATGAAAGCTGAAGAGCGTAGACTCATCTTTGAGCTACATGGAAATCATTTAAGAGCATTCATGTAAGAAATTATTTCTCAAAGTAATATTCTCTGTATCACAATTGACTAATTTAACAAAGTGTACATTACCACTGAAGTCAAAGCAGTGCTGTATGACCCTTGTAGGTTTAGCTTTTGTTTTTAATTATTATAATACTGAAATCAAAATACTATTTCATGGGAAGTTTGTCACTATAGAATTTGAGACAATCTTGTATTGTAATTATTATTATTATTATCAGAACTAAGTGCTAAACCCACAAGCGTCATACAGTGCTGTATGTTATTCACAGAAAGCCCCTCAATGACAGTACCTGATGCTGGTGACAGGCTCTTGATCCAAGGAATTGGATCTATCATTGCTTCCCGTTCTCTAGATGCTGTGTGATCCCTATGACTTTCATGCCTTCCCTCCCCCATGAATGTAGAAATAAGATGAAAAAGCTTTTGCTACTACATGAAAACAATGAAGCCTACTTGATGTGATAGTTGTACTGCTTTAGGTCTGTCATATGTAGTGTCAGTAGTAATGCCCAAATGTTACACATTATTAGTTACCCCCTAAAAGGAGGTTCCTTGATGCTGGTGAGGGGCTCTTGATCTAGGGAATTGAATCTGTGCTCTGGTTCCCTGAATTGAGTCTGAATACCTTCTATCCCCCCTCCCAAGCGTTGTATAATCCTACGGGTTTAGCACTCTCCCATGATTATAATAATATTCTATTTACAACTTGCAGCATTTTTCAAATTGTGCATAAAACCCAGTGCTGTGATTGTATGAAAATTTTATTTCTAAGTCATATAATTCCTACCCTGTAATACCTTTTATAATTACACTTGTCCAAAATGCTGCATATAAATTAAGCTTTTAAGATACTTGAAATCAAAAGTTGTGTTTGCTAATGCACTATAAATGCCTAACACTACCACATAATACTTTTGCTACTTACAAAGACACAAATAATCTTGCCAAAGTTTGAGACAAAAATGTATTAGTAATGCCAAGGAATGATGAATGAAAAAAAAAAATATCAGTAACATCAAAGCCATACACAAGATATAATAATCAATCAAATAAGAGGATTATAAAATGAAAGTAGCTATCTCAATTTTTTCCTGGCCTCTGGTGTGTGAAGCAAGATAATTTTTTTACACTTGGGATCATGTTATTGTAGATGTATGCCACAGTGCTGTATGACTTACGGGTTTAGCACTTAGTCTTGATTATAATAATAAAGGTATGCTCAAAAATAAGAGCAGTTTAAAGTTATTTTAAAGAACGTCTAAGAGATGTAAGCCTTTGGTGAACAATCTGGAGATCCTCAAGTCTTTGTGGAGTGCTCACAGATGCACTAGATGAGCTAAAAGAGCAGCTAGAGGATGTACCTACAGAATTTGATAGGTTACAAATTCTTGAGGATGATGTTGGAATAGATACAGATGGGTTAAGAAATGGTGTGTCACTCAAATCTGCTACAGTTTTAGCTAATTTGTGCACACAGTTGGTAGAATCACTTGCTGCCATTTTCTTTCTAAATGCTGAAAATGAAATAGGTGTCTGATGATGTTGCCAACTGCTGAAATTACTACTGAAGTCAAATTTACTACTATTAACTGGTGTTTTTTTCTCCAAAATAGCTGTGAAGTCCTTCCATACTAAATGATCTTCACTGTCATTTTCAACTTCACTATAGTTCTGATCTATATATGAAGGGTGCTCATGAAAAATCTCTGCAGCTTCTCCAACTGCAATTTCTGGGAATTTTGGATTAAAAGAGGCATTCTTAAGTGTGATTCTATGAAGAATTGACTTTTCCTTGTTATCCTCAAAGTTTTCCCACTGATACTTTCTTTTTCTTCCCAATGATGGAGTTGTTAAGGTTGTAAAGTTGCTGGTTATCGATGTCAGGTCTTCCAAGATGCCTATAATAAATTTCAGGTAAAAATGTCATTACATTTTGTACATATAAGATATAATATTTATATATTTTTTAACACACTGGCCATATCCCACCAAGGTAGGGTGACCTGTAAAAGAAACAATTTCACAATCATTCACTCCACTGTCTTGCCAGAAGCACAGTTACCACAGATCAGATGCCTATCCAAACTGCAAATATCCCCACCACTCCTTCAAAGTGCAGTTCCAAACTGCAAATATCCCCACCACTCCTTCAAAGTGCAGTTCCAAACTGCAAATATCCCCACCACTCCTTCAAAGTGCAGGTGCTGTATTTCCCAACTCGGTACTCTAGTCCGGGGTAACCAGTTTTAGTAACTCTCTTCACAAAATGTTACCTTGCTCATACTCCAGCAACTTATCAAGACTCAAAAACCATTAGCCCCTTCCTCCATAAGCCATGTATGGGGCTAGTAACCTCCTCCCCTGGACTCTCAATTGAGTACATACCTCCAGAATTAAAGGGATCTAATGGAACAAGAAAAATTGCAAGATGTAATTCTAAACAGTCCATTATTTTTTACTGTATTGTTAGCAGTTTATGCTTGCATTTGTGCAATAACAGTGGCTAAATCAGGTGATAAAGTGATATTTGATATAATTTAGTGTATTATACTTAACAATTCATTAATTTTTTGCTATAAATATAGTCTAAATCTATATAATCATCCTTGTTAGTAGTAATTGCTTTTCATTTTAATTATTACAACAGCTATATTTTCTATTTACCTATTACTAGTACATACTTAAATTCTCCATTAGTCTTATGAATGCAAATATCGATCCAGATATTAATATCTTCTTATACAGCAATAATAATCCTGAAAATAATTGCCAATATTACACTGCAAGTCAGGCAAAAGTTGTATTCAGTGCCACCAAGACCATAACAATATTCAATTATAATGTTAGATCGCTAATTAAACACTATGATGACCTTTTGGCACTGCTTACTTCTCTAAATGTTAACATGTCTATCATTATTCTTACTGAAACCTGGCTCAAACATGACTTAACAGTCATCTTTGTATTAAATCTACTTGCACCAGGGACGAAAATGGTGAATATATATTTTCAAAATTCTCATCTAAAAACCTAAGAAACCCTATTACAGTTGGAGCAGTCTACAGGTTACCTCACACAAATTCTTATACATTTAGTGTGAATGTTACCATATAATGCTGATGAAATATGCATCCATCTACTGTAGAAGAAAATTAATCTAAACACAGAACATTGTGCGTGTTGGACCTAGTCTGCAGAGCTAGACTATCCTTTGAAAGGTGCATATTCAGAGAATGCCCAAGATAATTAATATGTAATTTGTTTATTATATGACTACTTGTTATCCTCATTCTTCAAATTGAAATTTTAACACATTGATCCTATTGACTAACCTGAAAGTCCTTCACCAATACTTTGTTGACAAGGTAATCTTAGAGTCTCCTCCCTGGCTATCATGTCAGATACTTCCTTCAGTCTTGAAATATTATGGTAGTCCTCCCCCATGCTATTAGAGAATCCTGCTGTACTGTTGGCAAAAATCTTGCCTCCTGTTCCCAGTGGCTTTTTTGATGTATTCATACCTATGACATGCAACAAATTTTATTATGCAGTAAATGTAACTAGTCAATAATATAACAGGCACAGCACAACACTCCTAAAAAATATTATATTTATTTCCATGCAATGACTCTTTGGCATACACAGGAATATTAAAGTTTGTTTTTATTATTATTATCACACTGGCCGATTCCCACCAAGGCAGGGTGGCCCGAAAAAGAAAAACTTTCACCATCATTCACTCCATCACTGTCTTGCCAGAAGGATGCTTTACACTACAGTTTTTAAACTGCAACATTAACAGCCCTCCTTCAGAGTGCAGGCACTGTACTTCCCATCTCCAGGACTCAAGTCCGGCCTGCCGGTTTCCCTGAACCCCTTCATAAATGTTACTTTGCTCACACTCCAACAGCACGTCAAGTATTAAAAACCATTCGTCTCCATTCACTCCTATCAAACACGCTCACACACGCCTGCTGGAAGTCCAAGCCCCTCGCACACAAAACCTCCTTTACCCCCTCCCTCCAACCTTTCCTAGGCCGACCCCTACCCCGCCTTCCTTCCACTACAGACTGATACACTCTTGAAGTCATTCTGTTTCGCTCCATTCTCTCTACATGTCCGAACCACCTCAACAACCCTTCCTCAGCCCTCTGGACAACAGTTTTCGTAATCCCGCACCTCCTCCTAACTTCCAAACTACGAATTCTCTGCATTATATTCACACCACACATTGCCCTCAGACATGACATCTCCACTGCCTCCAGCCTTCTCCTCGCTGCAACATTCATCACCCATGCTTCACACCCATATAAGAGTGTTGGTAAAACTATACTCTCATACATTCCCCTCTTTGCCTCCAAGGACAAAGTTCTTTGTCTCCACAGACTCCTAAGTGCACCACTCACCCCTTTTCCCCTCATCAATTCTATGATTCACCTCATCCTTCATAGACCCATCCGCTCACACGTCCACTCCCAAATATCTGAATACATTCACCTCCTCCATACTCTCTCCCTCCAATCTGATATCCAATCTTTCATCACCTAATATTTTTGTTATCCTCATAACCTTACTCTTTCCTGTATTCACTTTTAATTTTCTTCTTTTGCACACCCTACCAAATTCATCCACCAATCTCTGCAACTTCTCTTCAGAATCTCCCAAGAGAACAGTGTCATCAGCAAAGAGCAACTGTGACAACTCCCACTTTATGTGTGATTCTTTATCTTTTAACTCCACGCCTCTTGTCAAGACCCTCGCATTTACTTCTCTTACAACCCCATCTATAAATATATTAAACAACCACGGTGACATCACACATCCTTGTCTAAGGCCTACTTTTACTGGGAAATAATTTCCCTCTTTCCTATGTACTCTAACTTGAGCCTCACTATTCTCGTAAAAAACTCTTCACTGCTTTCAGTAACCTACCTCCTACACCATACACCTGCAACATCTGCCACATTGCCCCCCTATCCACCCTGTCATACGCCTTTTCCAAATCCATAAATGCCACAAAGACCTCTTTAGCCTTATCTAAATACTGTTCACTTATATGTTTCACTGTAAACACCTGGTCCACACACCCCCTACTTTTCCTAAAGCCTCCTTGTTCATCTGCTATCCTATTCTCCGTCTTACTTTTAATTCTTTCAATAATAACTCTACCATACACTTTACCAGGTATACTCAACAGACTTATCCCCCTATAATTTTTGCACTCTCTTTTGTCCCCTTTGCCTTTATACAAAGGAACTATGCATGCTCTCTGCCAATCCCTAGGTACCTTACCCTCTTCCATACATTTATTAAATAATTGCACCAACCACTCCAAAACTATATCCCCACCTGCTTTTAACATTTCTATCTTAGTTTGTATTATATTAAATCTAATATTGTACCCAAAATATGTTCACTTAAAAAATTTACTCTTTGACGAACAGGAATAAAGATGAAGCATTCTGAGCCATGAAAGATGCATTTATACCTCTGATGCTCATGGGACCCTCATAGAATGTCTTTCACAATGGTATCTCTCTGAACTTCAGCAAAACTCATAAGAGCACCTTGTGCTCAGTAACAGCCTCCTTCACTTCCAGTCACTGGTGATGTTTGCTTATTACAATGGACATAAGCTGAGGCTCACATAATACTCCACAACTCAGTTGTTGGTTGAAATAACAGCTGTGGCAAGTGGCAGACACCACAGACTCATCATGGCTCCAAATACAGAAATGCTTCCTTCAGTGTTCAAAATTAAAGTTTTTTTGCTGTGAAGGTCCCTAGATAGGCTTCACCTAGAATCATACCACCCAGTGTCAAAACAATTCATGAAAACATCTCTCTAACCCTAATCATAGCCTGTATGAGCACACAGTAAACTAGTGTACTGGCATCCTGCAAGATGAGACGACTCAATGACTGCATGAAAACAGGATCATCATAACGAGCAACAGTAGGCTTACACACAAGTGTAATCATGGATGAGATAAAATACCTAGCTGGAAAATGCTGGGAAGCAGAGGACACCTTCACACCAAGAAGATGCAGAAATAATAAAAACAAAGATAGCCCTTGATTTAACCAGATCTGTGCAGGCAAAAAAGAAAAGTGTAAGAGCACAGAAAAATTACAGAAAGCAAAGGACACACAAAACAGAGAAGTGAGCAGATTGGCCAGACACAAATATGCTAGAATGAAGCAAAAGGCTCAATGACAATTGGAGAATGACATAGTAGCAAAGGGCAAGTCTGAACCAAAAGCATTGCACAGCCACATCAGAAAAAAAGATGACAGTAAAGAGAGATCTCATGAACAATGATAAGTCTATGAAGTATTGATCAAATGGAAGGCAATCAGATGTGATACAAGGAAGTGAAGGGGAGCCTTTCACTACCATCAAGGTACCCCTGAAGGGTTGTCTCACCTGTAATTTCTTTTTCAGGTGTAATATCCTTGGGATGTCTATTAATTAGAGCAGTCTTGGAGTGCACTGAAGGATGTGTAGAAGGGTTAGATTTTATCATCAATGCGCCATTTAAATCTAGGTTTATCTCTTTTAGCTGTAAAAAAAAATTAGAAAAAAAATTAGGACTGTGCATGAGTGTATACTATTTTTATCAAAGTATTAATATGAAATATAATTATTCTTTCATTTGAAGCAGAGTGAGACATGTAAAAACCCTCCAAACAGAATTGGTTTGAGTTGCTGGGATTTATAGTACATTTAAATTAAGAATTACGAATGCTTAAAACTCGGGGGAGATACGGCCGGTTTGTTGAAAGAAGAATGCTTAAAACTACTGAACATTATTACATGTCAAAATATGAAACCAAAACAAGTTTTATAAATTAATATGCAAGTATCATTCAAGTTAGCTTATTTTTCTGAAGAAATCTAAAAATGTTTAGCAACATACAGTAGGGCCCCACTTATATGGCAGGTTAGGTTCCAGGCTACGGCTGGAAAGCATAACGTCATTTTTTCCACTTATAAATGCATATAAATGCCAGACAACACGTTTACACTACTCATATTAATTTAGTATAGAACTAGGCATTAAGAAAAAAATAAGTAAAATACATACACAGTACATTCATTACTTACCTTAAAATATTTGTAGTCTTAATGTAGGGTGAGAGGTGAGTAGTACTTATTTGTAGGAAGTCAGGTGTAGGTAGCCCTGGCTCCCCATCCCAAACTTAATTAATATACAGTGGTACCTCGAGTTACAAACTTAATTCGTTCCAGAAGGCTGTTCGAGTGCTGATACCAAACAAATTTGTTCCCATAAGGAATAATGTAAATTAGATTAGTCCGTTTCAGACCCCCAAAAATACACTTACAAAAGCACTTACAAAAATACACTTTTTTTTTTTTTTTTAACAAGTCGGTCGTCTCCCACCGAGACAGGGTGAATACACTTACCGTACATAATTGCTTGAGTTGGGAGCTGTTCGAAACTTGAGGTACCACCGTACGATATTGAAAGCAGCCCAGAGAGATAAAATACACATACAGTACACTCATTATTTACCTTAAAATATGTGTAGTCTTAATGTAGGATGAGAGATAAGTAATATTCATTTGTAGGAAATCAGGTGTAGGTAGCTGGTAGATGCAGATATGTAGTCCTCCTGGCTACACAGCTGCACCTACCTACCTACATATCTACACGATATTTAATATGGCCCAGCGTCATATTATTACAATCGACACACCATGTTCAAAGAGTTTAATCGTTTCTAACAACTACCTCTAGATTCCATCATAAAAGTAGAGTGAAGTAATGAATAATTCATGCTGAGAATTGTAAACAAAAGCATTATATGTTAAGGGGACTGACTAGGCCAAACTCAGAGTCATACACGTTTTCTCTGGTACTGGACCAGAGAAAACATAATGTTTTCCCTTCACCCAGCTACCACACTTCCATAGCATATAAACACAGCATGTTTATTTGCTATGTAACATGTTTCTTATATAATTTTGAAGAAAATATCATAGATGGATTAATGAAAATGTCTATATTAACATAAAATAAGACATTTAACCTGCAAACGGTCCAAGCAGATCTATGTTCACATGCATAGTGCTCCAAAAGTAGATCTACATTTTTTTTACATTTTTTTTTTCAACAAGTCGGCCTTCTCCCACCGAGGCAGGGTGACCCAAAAAAGAAAGAAAATCCCCAAAAAGAAAATACTTTCATCATCATTCAACACTTTCACCACACTCCCACATTATCACTGTTTTTGCAGAGGTGCTCAGAATACAACAGTTTAGAAGCATACACATATAAAGATACACAACATATCCCTCCAAACTGCCAATATAATATTTTCAAAAAAAAAAAAAAAAAAAAAAAAAAAAAAAAAAAAAAAAAAAAAAAAAAAAAAAAAAAAAAAAAAAAAAAAAAAACGTAGATCAAAGTTTTTTTACACGTTTTCAAATGTAAAAAAAAAAAAAGATCTACTTTTTTACATACTATCAAATGTTGAAAAAACGTACATATACGTTTAGACCGTTTACGGGTTAATGTGCCCAAGAGTGATTATTGTTACATATTAGTATTATTACTATGGCGTTAAGACTAGAGGGACACTCTTAGTGATTTTAATGTATACCTGTACACTAGTACAGTGTGTAAATATATTTAGGTACAGGTACACATAAGTATAATTATCAGAGTACATATAAAATATGCGGTAACTTTAAAACACTTGAAATTTTGAAAAGTTTCCAGACAAAAGAGAGATGTGCTCATAGAGAATGTAAACAAACCAAGTAGGGGGTGCCGTATTAGAAAGATGGGTTGCGGTATAAAGAGTTTTGGTCATAATTTAAAATCGCCATATTAGCGGAACGCTGTAAGGTGAAACACCATAAAGCGGGGCCCTACTGTATAAGAATTACCAACAATACCAGACTAAAACAAATCTCACCCAACCACTCTTAAAACAGTTTTCCCTTTTGAACAATAGCTGGCAAAACTAAGGAAATTTGATACTGGAAGATGGCAGTTACTGTAAGATCAGGTATAACAGTTTTCACTGTGATAGTACTGAGTACTGTAATGACAGGAATCTTTGTCCTGCATGAGATACAATGTAATGACATGAAATACAGTTAAGCAAAAAAGTACAAAATATTAGAAGCAAAACACTAACTACAACTTGAGTATTTATATACCCTCAGTGTGAAGTTTCTTCTGGATGCTCGAGTGGAAGTTGATAATGCATTGGTAGAGCGACTGAGGAACTTTGTGATATCGATGGAAGTATCACAGCCAAGAGTTTCACTGGTTAAAGCTTGTAATGAGCGAGAGTGATGACCTAGAGAATAAAATTAGGGTTAATTGTTACACTTAATTATAAAAAATACTGTATTTTTGTTCTCAATGCCCAGAAGAGCAATCCATACATCCCTGTACTGTACTTATACAACTCCTCACCCAAGATTTACTCCAACAAATGCTGTGTTTTAACTCCATACAAGATTTTCAGGATTTTTATACAAAAAATAAACAATTTAGAAATGAGTGGCCTGGGCCAACAAGTACTGGAGTATAAAGCATCTTGGTTAATGTGCATAATTAAAAAATCTCTAAATCTAGAGGGCTGACACTCTTTATAAATTCTAAAAAAAAAAAAAAGAAAAAAAAAAAAAAGATTGATAATAAATTTTTTTTTCAACATGTCAGCCACTTCCCACCGAGGCAGAGTGACCCAAAAAGAAAGAAAAACCCCAAAAAAAGAAAGAAAAAATTCAGGTCTGTGGAATGTAAGCCTAATTCCCCATGTATTCTTCTAATGCACCCCCTGAATGGGGCACAATAGCTTAGAACTAGAACATCCAACTTCTTTTCATTCATAACATTAGCAATCATCTTTCTTATCATCCACACTACATCTACACACATTCAAGCATCCCAGTTTTGTAGTTTTTCTTCTCTTTTTTAGTATTTTCTACAGGAGAAGGGGTTACTAGCCCATTGCTCCCGGCATTTTAGTCGCCTCATACGATATGATGTAGTTTTCTTCTCATATATTATGTCCCTTAATTTCTAATGTCTGGGATTACTCCACTCTCATTTTTACATAAAAAATTTACGAATGAATTTGTCTTTCCATTTCCACCTTTTCTTCCTCTTGTTTTAGTTTGGTTATGTGTGATTATCTAATTATATGCACTAGAGAAGACAAAAGGGTCAACAGTATCATAAAGCAAGGTAATGAGGGCAAACAGATGTTCCTCAATCAGTTATGAATGCAAAAATTGAAACTAACCAGACATATTAGAATTTCCAGTCTTGGTTCGGACCTCACCAAGCCTAGATATGGATCGGGAGGACCGTCTCAGTAACTTCTGCTGCTGATTTAATGGAGTATTGAGTTCTGCTGAAGGTGACTTGGAAATAGCTGGTGCTGGTGTGGCTACATCCATGTGAATATCCTTTATGTTTGATGTACACAGCTGCTCCTTTTCTGCTTCTAGAAGAACAAAACAAAGTTACTATTTTCAAGGCAGATTATAACCCATTAACTAAAAATCATTCAACATGTATACAGTAGTACCATTACATGCCTTTTAAATTTAATATATCCAACATCTATTATACAGTAAGGACAGCTCTTTTTTTTTAAATAACACTTTAAAGAAAATGTTTCCTCACTTGTAAGTTTAATGTCAGGCTTACTCTGAACCCTCTTATGGTGCTCTTCTGTGTCAGTGAAGTCCTCATCTGGCTGGATATTGTCTTCATTGAGAGAGTTTGCAAGACGAGAGAGGAGAGTAAGTGTGAGCTGCACTCTCTTGATCAGACTACGGTGGTATGACAAGTTTGTAGGAGACATTATCACTGCATCTGCACTCTGCTTCATCTCTCTTATTGCTACCATAACATAAAATAGATATATTTTTCTTTATCATTTCTGTATACAGTATTTTGAGTCATACTGTAATGTAAATTAAATAAAGCACATTAAAGAAGTCAAAATATGAAAGCTGATACGAAAAAAAAAGAGCCAACTAAATCATCAATTCACCATGCACTTATATCACTTCAGTCATAATCCTTCCCAACAGCCAAGTTGCCTTTTTCTTATTTTCAACAAAATTTGTTGATAATTTCTCACCCACTCTCTCATTTGCTCTCTTTTTACATTACTTCACCACTCTCTTAACCTCTCTTTTTCTCTCCATATACTCCTCCCTCCTTGCATTGGTACTGGCGTAAAACTGAGAATCAGTATCAGCAAAGAATTTGGCATAATCCCATCCCTACATAGAACAACACAATTTCATATGATAGCTACAATACAGTATTGTAAACTAATAGATAGCTAAATGAGAACTCTTTCAACATACCTATTTGTAAATCCTCAGCCTGTAAGTCTGTGAGAAAGTCATTCTTCTCATGTAAGGTTAAGATTCTAGATGTAAGATTTACTACTCTTGACACTTGCTTTTGAATCCAGGTTATATCTTGAGTGTAAAGTTGTTCCTTCAGTTCAGCCCAGATCTGGTGTACTTCTTGTTTTGTAACCTGTTCCATATATATGATACAGTACAAGTCTCACATAAAAACAATGTGTGCTTACAAAAAAAAAAAAAAAAACACTACGACTCATGAAATTGTAATGACATGATTGCAAACAAACCACAGAATGAGTGGGGTTTAAGCCCATGGCAAGTGAGCCCTAAAACTCCCAGCCAGTGCGTAAGCTACTCAAGTGGCTTTTGCACTGGCCTGGAGTTTCAGAACTCACTCACCATGGGTTCAAATCCCACTAGTTCCATGGTTTAGAATAAAACACTAATTAATGCAAATAACAAAGCATGATAAAAAATCATAAATAACTGAGTACAGCAAATATTTATCTCTATCAATTTAACACATTCCATACAAACACAGAGGTGGAACAAAGGAAAAGCCATTTCCATGTGACAACATAGTTTTGGAAATGTTTGAATAAACATTTTATCAGTAATTGGCCCAAAAGCTTATGACATAAAAGATACTGTATTATACTGCATAATAATCACAAAGCATAAGTAACAATACTGCATGTCATGACTTTTGGAAAATGTCATGTACTTTTGATGCACAGCCCTCACCAACTGGTGAGGGCTGTGCATCAAAAGTTTACATATTTTTAGATGCACAACACATATACATGACATATTTCTCATGCTCTGTCTCTCACACTCTCTTTTGCTCTCACTCTCTGTCTCACACTCTCTCACTCAAGATCTCTCACACTCACTTTCATGCTCTCTCACACTCTCACTGCCTCATTCTCACTAAAGAATTTTTGTTTTTACAAGAAAATTCAGGATTGTAGGGGCCATTCAAAACTTTGAAAAAGGCTAAATAAGAATCATACTGCAGTAGTATTTTCACATAACAAGCTAAAATCTTACCGGGGCTGAATGCAGATGGTCCATGATATTACCCAACAGTCCAAAGCTGTGCAACACACCTACCCAGTTTCAGCACAACTGGCCGGGCTAACATTAGGGGAGGATCAGTAAGCAATACTACGACGGAACAAAGCAACTCTCCAACCACCCCAGGTGAACAGCTATCACGAATGAGCCGTACTCTGAAGGAAAGGGACAGAGAAAACTTTTTTAACTCAACTTTTTTTTTTAAAACCGTGGCCATCTCCCCCCGAACAGGGTGATCCAAAAAAAAATTTTCACCATCATTCTTACTATCACGTTTGCCGATCACAGATAGAAAATTCAGATGTCCCCCAAACGCAAATACCCCAAACCCCCCCTTCAGAGTGAAAGTACTGTATTTCCATTCCGAAAAGTTTTGTATCAAGAACTTTGGATATTTCTGAACGGGATGGTACACCTCCTTCATACAATTTTTGTTCAGATTGGCTAGAATCCTAAATGAAAGGAATTTTCAACATTAGAAACTGAGTACAAAAATGTGGGAAAAGCTCACACTTGAAGGAAATTTTTATCTTCATTTGGTTAGTTGAGCGGGACATCTTTTATAAGTTATTCTGGAAACCAGTTAACCAGACTTGAGCCCTGGGGGGTGAAAGTACAGTACCTCTTTTTGGTGTGGGGTTTGTAGCAGCTCGGGGGGTTTTTTGAAATTGCAATGTCAAAATTCAGAGCAGCTATAAATTTAATGACATATTGGGATTTGAGGAAGAGCCAGTTGTGAGTGGGGGAAGTTCGTGAGGAGTGGTAAAATAAAAGGGGGGTAAGGCAGCCGGTTTGATGGGAAAGATAGAAATGTTTAAAAGCGGGTGGGGATTAGTTTTGGATTTGGGTTGGTGCAATTATTAATAATGTATGGAAGAGGGAAGGGTACCTGGGGTTTGGGCGAGAGCATGCATATTTCCCTTTTGTTAAAGCAAAGGGTAAAAGAAGTAAAAAAATTAAAGGGGGGGATAAGTTTTTTGAGTGCCCTGGTAAAGTGTAGGGGTGAGTTATAATTAAAAGAATTAAGAGAAAGGAGAATAGGATAGCAGATGAACAAGGAGCTTTAGGAAAGGTAGGGGGTGTGTGGACCAGGTTTTTTACAGTGAAACAATAAGAACAGTATTTAGATAAGGCAAAAGAGGTCTTTGTGGCATTTATGGTTTTGGAAAAGGCTATGAAGGGTGGTGGGGGGGCAAGGGGCAGATGTTGCAAGTGTATGGTGTAGGGGTGGGTTACTGAAAGCAGTGAAGTTTTTTTACGAGAAAGTGGGGCTCAATTTTAGAGTAGTAGGAAAGAGGAAATTTTTTTCCCGTAAAAGTGGCCTTAGCAAGGTGTGTGATGTCCCCGTGGTTGTTTAATAATTTAAGAGGGGGTTTGAAGAGAAGTAAATGCGAGGGTCTTGGAAGGCGGGGAGTTAAAAGATAAAGAACACACACAAAGTGGGATTGTCACAGCTGCCTTGCTGATGACACTGTGCTCTTGGAGATTCAAAAAATTGCAGAGATTGTGGATGAATTTGGTGGGTGCAAAAGAAAAAATTAAGTGAATACGAAAGATAAGGTTTATGAGGATAACAAAAAGATTAGGGATGAAAGATTGAATATCAAGAATGGAGTAGAAGTACTGAGAGGTGAACGTATTCAATATATTGGGATGACGTGTCACCGGCTGAATCAAAATGGGAGGTGAATCATAGAATCAAAGCAGGCAAAACAGACCTCCTGTGTCACCTAGAGTCTGTGGAGCAAGCACTTTGTCCTAGGAGTCAAAGAGGGAATGTATGAGAGTATAGATACCAACGCTCTTAACTGGGTGTAAGCGAGGTGATGAATGTTGCAGCGCGGAAGGCGAAGGCAGGGAGATAAACATTTACCAATGTGTGTTGTGAATACAGCGGGCAATTCGTAGTTTGAAGTCAGGAGGAGTCCAAAACAAAATTTTCCATAGCTTAGAAGGTTTGCAGGGTTCGGACATGTAGAGAGAATTAGGTAAAACTCAAATGATCCCAACCTTGTGGAAGGAAGGCGGTAGGGGTCCGGCCTAGAAGGGTTGAGGTAAAGAGGTTTTGTTTCGAAGGGCTTGGTTCCACCTGCATGTCTCAAGTTAGTTGATAGGAGTGAATGAACAAATGGTGTTTAATATTAGGTTGGATGAGCAAAGTAAAATTATGAAAGGCTGCAACAACCTGAAGGCCGGATTTATCTGGATTTGGGTTAGTGGGGCGGCACTCTGAATGAGGTTATTAATGTCAGTTAACAACTGTGGGTAAAGCACCCTACCTGTCATGGTGTGGAGTGTGAGCTGGAAGGTTTTTTTTGCCACCTGCCTGGAAATCGGCGGTTGAATAAAAAAAAAAAAATTATATGCATTTCTTTTGTTTTGGGAGAAGGGGAAGTGTTATTTTGCCTCGGTAAGAAAGGGCCAGTTTGTTAAAAAATACATATAATTTCCAGAATACAGTGGACCCCCGCATAACGATTACCTCCGAATGCGACCAATTATGTAAGTGTATTTATGTAAGTGCGTTTGTACGTGTATGTTTGGGGGTCTGAAATGGACTAATCTACTTCACAATATTCCTTATGGGAATAAATTCGGTCAGTACTGGCACCTGAACATACTTATGGAGTGAAAAAATATCGTTAACCGGGGGTCCACTGTATAACCATATTTTTCTTATACTGTATATAGAGTATTCCTCAGTTTTTAGAATGGTTTTCAGTAATCAATGCACTGTAGAAGACTTTAGAATATATATATTATAACAAGCAAATTGACAGTTTTCCCACATGATCACATACTCATATCTGCTAATGGAAATCTATAACTATTTTATATAAATTGCTTAACCCTTAAACTGTCCAAAAGTAGATCTACATTGACATGCGTAGCGCTCCGAACGTAGATCTACATTTTTTACATGCTTTCAAATGGAGAAAATAAAGGTTGGAGTGCTACGCACGTGAACGTAGATCTACGCCTGGACAGTTTAAGGGTTAATTAGTACTTATGAGATATTACACACACACAGATTATATTCACTAAAAACAGTTCTAGATAATAATGTTGACTGCTTGGACATTTGTGACTTTCTGGAAGTTAAAAATAAGGGGCCTTACCATTTGTAGCAATGGAAGTAAACAGTAAGATGTGTCAATCCTACATATGCCAATAATCTGTCCTCCTATCTTACTTATTGCATTTTCCTCTAATCCCATTAGCATAACTTCTACTTTTTAACAAATGATATAGTGTATGCTCATTACCTCATATAAACATATTTACAAACAATTTCAGTGGCATAATACAGTATCTTACTTGTGATATCTGAAGTACATGAAGTGGCAAATCCTCCAATTTGGAAGATGCTATCCACATGAAGATCAAAGTCTGCAATGCAACTGTCAAGTGTACTGCGATCTGTCGTGTTTTCCTCAGGACTTAGCATATTCATTAAAGACTGAATGGGAGTCATTGGATCGGCAAAATTCTGTAAAGATAAGATTGTTCAATAGTGTGCAGTCATTCACCTATTACAGTACCTTAACTCCAACAGGACCTGAGGTAAGTTGGATAATCAAAAGTTCATATTCTAGGATAAACCATTCCCTCAAAACAAAAATCCATTTACCTGGTTGCATAATTATTTATATTTGACACCCAGCTCTGCATCATATCAGATATTATCTTATCTGTATTAATGTTGGTAGAATTACCGACAATGTGTAAAGTAAAAGGACACAAGTGCAGCTAATGTGACATTTTATTGTGGTAATGGCTTGATAAAGCTCCTGGAAAGTGAAACGTTGCCACAATAAAATGTCACGTTAGTTGCACTTGTGTCCTTTTACTTTAAATTATTTTATCTGACAAACAAAAAAATCCTTAGCAGAACTGGAAGGCACCTGAAAATCATTTTGAGGGTCACTGCTCCCACAGCCCAGTCTCATGGCTTCTGGTTGAAGGCCTGATCAACCAGGCTGTTGGTACTACTTGCAAGCACAGCAACATGGGCACCACAGCCCACTTGATTAGGAAGAACTTGCCAATGTATCAGTTCCCTCTTGAAGATAGTTAAGGATCTGTTGATAATTGCCTTTATGTATGAAGGGAGGGTGTCGAAAAGTCCCTTTACACTTACTGAACTATCTTTTACCTGTACTCACTGCACCCTCACTTTTCATTTGAAATATCTTGCATAGTCTGCTGAGCCTCTTGCTCTCATGGGAAGTAATTTCGGTGTGCACACAGGAGAATGAAATTTATGATGACATTTTGGTCTGACTTGGACTATTAACTAGTCACATAGAAGTGCAAAGGAAAGAGAGCCAATATATATATGAGAGGAGGGGGTGGGGCAGGGAGGAGGTAATAGTAGTATAATGGAAATACAAACTAATCAAATAGCAAATATAACCACAATGAAAACATGGTTTGCTCTATAACTGGGTAACAGAAATGTTAATGTTTTGTAATTTCACAACAAATAGACTTTTTTTTTTTTTAAATCACAAGCCAAGTGAGTCTTGAACCCACAGCAGACGAGTCCCAAAACTCAAAGGCCTGGGAGTTTATGTACTCATCTGCCATGGGTTTGAGCTCCAACCTTACCATTTTTGTGTGTATGCTGTTAGTACCTCATTACAGTGAGTGCCACAAACTTACACAAATGTAAAATTATCTTACTGACTTGATATATAAAAACAAATAATATTTAGAGTAAATAGGGGGTAGGGGTCAGCCTAGAAAAGGTTGGAGGGATGGGGTAAAAGAGGTTTTGTGTGCAAGGGGCTTGGACTTCCAGCAAGCGTACATGAGCGTGTTAGATAGGAGCAAATGAAGACAAATGGTTTTTAGGACTTGACGTGCTGTTGGAGAGTAAGCAAGGTAACATTATGAAGGGATTCAAGGAAACTGGCAAACCAGACTTGAGTCCTGGAGATGGTAAGTACAGTGCCAGTACTCTGAAGGAGGAGTGTTAATGTTGCAGTTTTATAACTGTAGTGTAAGCATGACTCTGGCAAGACAGTGATGGAGTGAATGATGGTGATTTTTTTTTTTTTCACACTACCCTGCCTTGGTGGGAAATGGCTGTGTTAATAAAATAATAAAAAAACATACACACAATTTATAATATGAAAGGCATGGTAAAATTAGTCTTAAATTAAACAATTATAACATACTTGATCACACACTAAATATTACAATAGAAAACTGAACACTGCAGTCAACAACAAGAGGTAATCATTGTCTAACCTTTGTAATGAGGCGAATAAGGGCTGTGTTGATCTTCTGTTCAAGTAACTCCACAGAATCAGCCAATATATCACAAGATATCTGCACATCTACAGCATCAGGTTCTCCATTTCGTTCTAAAGACACCACAATCTTCAGTTCTTTCAACACCTATATCATGATAGAGGTTAAAAACTACCAATTTTAAATAACTGGGTAATATATGACATGTGTTTAGCAATAAATTCTTTAAGGGTATAACTTTTTTTGGTAGCTGCTAGAAAACTTATGTGCTAAAGCTAATATATCAAAGGTGAGATACATAGTTTTCAGAAGCCAAGACTAGGGCAGCTTAGTGTGAGATGCACCCTCAATTTGTATCGAAAAGAACATACAGATAATTATGTATATATGTAAGTATGGTTATATCATTTAACAAAGCCTCAGTTTGATTTCATAATGCACAAAATTAGACTAAATAGCTATATTAACTTCAAGAAATTTACATTTGATCCCTTTTTTGTTATTCTGCTATTCAACATTTTTAGTTTTGTCAATATACCATTACTGTATGGTAAGGTCAAACCTCATTTTTTTCAAAGTTACTAACATATACCTAAAAATCTAGATTAAAAAAAAAAATAGTTACTGGGCTCCAACCCAAATGGATAAAAAAAAAAAAATGGAGGAAAGAGAGAACTTTATCAGTGCTTACATTCTCACACATTGACATAATGATGTGATTATCATCAGGTGAACTGCAGTATGCCACAGCAATACCATGACGGAGCACCTCCTCCAATAGAGGTTTCACATGCTCACTTAAAGGCTGAGTGCCTTTCCCAGTAGACCTAATACTCTTATCTTGGGATTCTAACAGTAGTTCAAGCACCTTATCAACCTGCAAGAAGGTGTAAGCTTCTTAAGTACTGTTATGGTAAACAGAAAATAAATAAATAAATATGTCACCCTGCCTTGATGGGAGATGGTTGGTTTGATGAAAGAAGATATGTATATATAGTATATCCTAGGTAGTAGGTTCGTAGACAGCAACCACCTAGGGAGGTATTACGGCCTGCCAAGTGAGCATGAAATGGAAACCTGTAATTGTTTTAGATGATGGTAGGATTGCTGGTGTCTTTTTCTGTCTCATAAACAATGATAAAGTGGGTAAAAATGTTGTTGAGGGAGTAGTAGGTAAATTTGGGGTGCCAGGGGTAAATGAAAATGGGGAGCCTTTAATTGAGCTATGTGTAGAAAGAGGTTTGGTAATAAGTAATACATATTTTATGAAAAAGAGGATAAATAAATATACAAGATATGATATAGCACGTAATGAAAGTAGTTTGTTAGATTATGTATTGGTGGATAAAAGGTTAATGGGTAGGCTCCAGGATGTACACGTTTATAGAGGGGCAACTGATATATCGGATCATTATTTAGTTGTAGCTACAATTAGAGTAAGAGGTAGATGGGACAAGAGGAAAATGGCAACAACAAGTAAGAGGGAGGTGAAAGTGTATAAACTAAGGGAGAAGGAAGTTTGGATTAGATATAAGCAACTATTGTATTGGCAGAATGGTGGGCTGGTGCAGGTATGAGTAGTGGGGGGGTTGAAGAGGGTTGGATGAGTTTTAAAAAAGCAGTATTAGAATGTGGGGCAGAAGTTTGTGGTTATAGGAGGGTGGGTGCAGGAGGAAAGAGGAGTGATTAATGGAATGATGAGGTAAAGGGTGTGATAAAAGAGAAAAAGGTAGCTTATGAGAGGTTTTTACAAAGCAGAAGTGTTTAAGAAGAGTAAAGAATATGGAGAGTAAAAGAAAGGTGAAGAGAGTGGTGAGAGAGTGCAAAAGGAGAGCAGATGATAGAGTGGGAGATGCACTGTCAAGAAATTTTAATGAAATAAGAAAAATTTTTGGAGAGAGCTAAATAAGTTAAGAAAGCCAAGGAAACGAATGGATTTGTCAGTTAAAAACAGAGTAAAGGGAGTTAGTAGATGGGGACATGGAGGTATTGGGTAGATGGCGGGAATATTTTGAGGAACTTTTAAATGGCGATGAAGAAAGGGTGGCGGTAATTTCATGCATTGGCCAGGGAGGTATACCGTCATTCAGGAGTGAAGAAGAGCAGGATGTGAGTGTGGGGGAAGTGCGTGAGGCATTATGTAGAATAACAGAGGGTAAAGCAGCTGGAACTGATGGGATCATGACAGAAATGTTAAAAGCAGGGGGAGATATATTGTTGGAGTGGTTGGTATTTTTGTTTAAAAAATGTATGAAACAGGGGAAGGTACCTAGGGATTGGCAGAGAGCATGTATAGTTCCTTTATATAAAGGGAAGGGGTACAATAGAAACTGTAAAAATTATAGAAGAATTAGTTTATTGAGTATACCAGGAAAAGTGTTGTAAGGTTATTATTGAAAGAATTAGAGGTAAGACAGAATGTAGGATTGCGATGCACAAGGAGGTTTTAGAGTGGGTAGGGGATGTGATCAAGTGTTTACATTGAAGCATATATGTGAACAGTATTTAGATAAAGGTAGGGAAGTTTTCATTGCATTTATGGATTTAGAAAAGGTATATGATAGAGTGGATAGGGGGGCAATGTGGCAGATGTTGCAAGTATATGGAATAGGTAGTAAGTTACTAAATGCTGTAAAGAGTTTTTATGAGGATAGTGAGGCTCAGGTTAGGGTGTGTAGAAGAGAGGGAGACTACTTCCCGGTAAAAGTAGGTCTTAGACAGGGATGTGTAATGTCACCATGGTTGTTTAATACATTTACAGATGGGGTTGTAAAAGAAGTAAACGGTAGGATGTTCGGGAGAGGGGTGGGATTAAATTATGGGGAATCAAATACAAAATGGGAATTGACACAGTTACTTTTTACTGATGATACTCTGCTTATGAGAGATTCTAAAGAAAAATTGCAAAGGTTAGTGGACGAGTTTGGGAGAGTGTGTAAAGGTAGAAAGTTGAAAGTGAACTTAGAAAAGGGTTAGGTGATGAGGGTATCAAATGATTTAGATAAAGAAAAATTGGATATCAAATTGGGGAGGAGTATGGAAGAAGTGAATGTTCTCAGCTATTTGGGAGTTGACATGTCAGCGGATGGATTTATGAAAGATGAGGTTAATCATAGAATTGATGAAGGAAAAAAGGTGAGTGGTGTGTTGAGGTATATGTGGAGACAAAAAACATTATCTATGGAGGCAAAAAAGGGAATGTATGAAAGTATAGTGGTACCAACACTCTTATATGGGTGTGAAGCTTGGGTTGTAAATGTTGCAGCAAGGAGACGTTTGGAGGCAGTGGAGATGTCCTGTCTAAGGGCAATGTGTGGTGTAAATATTATGCAGAAAATTCGGAGTGTGGAAATTAGGAGAAGGTGTGGAGTTAATAAAAGCATTAGTCAGAGGGCTGAAGACGGGTTGTTGAGGAATGGATCAAAGTAGAATGACTTGGTGAGCGTATAAATCCGTAGGGGAAGGAAGGCGGGGTAGGGGTCGTCCTCGAAAAGGTTGGAGGGAGGGGGTAAAGGAGGTTTTGTGGGTGACGGGCTTGGACTTCCAGCAAGTGTGCATGAGCGTGTTAGATAGCAGTGAATAGAGATGAATGGTATTTGGGACCTGACGAGGTGTTGGAGTGTGAGCAGGGTAATATTTCGTGAAGGGATTCAGAGAAACCGGTTATTTTTATGCGGCTGGACTTGAGTCCTGGAAATGGGAAGTACAATGCCTGCACTTTAAAGGAGGGGTTTGGGATATTGCCTTGAGTCAATGTAATCAGTGCATCAATCTTGAAAAGAATACAGCATATGTGTGAAGAAGTGGCTTATATACTGTAGGCAGGAGGTGCAGCAGTCATAGGAGGTATCATATTTGTCCAATGTGGAAGTAAGTCATGCCCAAGGGTTAAGCATGACCTTAGTAAGGAGTGATGAAGCCACTGTGTGGCAAAACGTTTCCTCAATAAAGATACCCAAGTGTTGCACATGTGTCTAATTTATCAGTTTGTCAGTTCTCTGAACCATTCATCTACATTAACCCTTTGACTGTCGCAAGACTGTCGTAAGACGTATATATATGTCTTACAAGGTACCGTATTTGACGTATATATACTCATAAATTCTAGCGGCTTCAAATCAAGGAGGAGAAAGCTGGTAGGCCCACATGTGAGAGAAAGGGTCTGTGTGGTCAGTGTGCACCACATAAAAAAAATCCTGGAGCACGCAGTGCATAATGAGAAAAAAAAACTTCAACCGTTTTTTTTAATTAAAATGCCGACTTTGTGGTCTATTTTCGTATAGTAATTATTATTGTATTCTCGTTTTTTTGGTCTCATTTGATAGAATGGAAAACATATTATAGAAATTGAGGTGATTTTGATTGATTCTACTATAAAAAGAACCAGGAAATGGAGCTCAAAGCAGGGGAAATGTTTGATTTTTGCCGATGTTCAAAAATAAACAAATGACATCATTGTCCAATAAATGTCCAACTAGCCATTCTAATATGCAATCATGAATGGGTTGATGTTATTTATACAATTATTACAGTATTGGAGTAGTCTGCATAATAGTAAATCTTCTATTTTTTGTTTGAATAAAAATTCACAATAAAAAGCAAGAGTAATATCAGAGGGGCCTGGAGATGTGACTGATGAACAAAGAAAATGTTATTTTAGAGCCAGGAATGTCTGCATTGTTCATTCTGGACCTTATTTTGAAATTGTCATATTTTTTAATTTTCATGAAATTGGCCAAATTGCAAATTTCTGACCACGTTATTGGGTAGTTGAAATTGGTAAAGGGGCAGTTTCTTGTACTCAATCAATAGATAAAACGGAGTTCTAAAGAAATAGCTATGAGTTTAGTTGACTGGAACAATGGAATTAGGCGAAAATAGAGCTCAAATTGGGCGAAATCGCCAATTTGTAATTATCGCCAAGGTCGCTAACTTCGCGAGAGTGTAATTCTGTCAGTTTTCCATCAAATTTCGGTTTTTTTTGGTGTCATTACAATCGGGAAAAGATTCTCTATCATTTCATAAGAAAAAATAATTTTTTTTTTTTTTAAATTTTGCAACACCAGGAGACACCTTATGATTGGGGGTTGCGACAGTCAAGGGATTAAGGTACCCGGCTGGTCAGGTACCGACTTTAGGTGCTTGTCCAGTGCCTGCTTGAAGACAGCCAGGGGTCTATTGGTAATCCCCCTTTTGTATGCTGGGAGGCAGTTGAACATAAGGGGGATTACCAATATACCCCTGGCTGTCTTCAAGCAGGCACTGGACAAGCACCTAAAGTCGGTACCTGACCAGCCGGGCTGTGGCTCGTACGTTGGATTGCGTGCAGCCAGCAGTAACAGCCTGGTTGATCAGGCTCTGATCCACCATGAGGCCTAGTCACAGACCGGGCCATGGGGGCATTGACCCCCAGAACTCTCTCCAGGTACCTGTGCAAACAAAAACATTATCCACAGAGGCAAAGAAGGAAATGTATGAGAGTATAGCAGTACCAACACTCATATGGATGTGAAGCATGGGTTGTAAATGCTGCAGCAGGAAGGAGACTGGAGACATTCGAGATATTGTGTCTAAGGGCAATGTGTGGTGCAGAGAATCTGTAGTGTGGAAATCAGGAGGAGGTGTGAAATTACTAAAAGTATTATTCAGAGGGCTGGAGAGGGGTTGTTGAGGCGATCTGGTCATTTAGAGAGGATGGAGCAAAATAAGATAACTTGGAGGGTATATAAATCTGTAGTGGAGGGGAGGAGGGGTAGGGGTCGTCCTAGGAAAGGATGGAGGGAGGGGGTAAAAAAAAAAAAGGTTTTGTGTGCAAGCAGCTGGATAAGCACAAGCATGTGTGAGTATGTTAGGAGTGAATGGAGACGAATAATTTTTGGGATCTGGTGAGCTGTTGGAGTGTGAGCGGGGTAATATTTTATGAAGAGATTCAGTGAAACCAGTTAGCCAGACTTGAGTCTTGGAGGTGGGAAGGACAATGCCTGCACTTTAAAGGAGGGGGTTTGGGATACTGGCTTTTTGGAGTGACATCTAAACTGTCATATTAGGGTGCCTCTGCAAAGACAGTGAATATGTGTAAATGATGGTGAAAGTGTTGAATGATGGTAAAAGTGTTTCTTTCTTTTTTGGGTCACCCTACCTCGGCGGGAGATGGCCGTTGTGTTGAAAAAAATATGTATACTTACAGAAGCTGTGAAGGAACCTGCTTCTTCCATATCATAATCAGCATCACCCAGTCCTACATGGTATTGAAGGTCAGTCAACAGCACCTGTAGTCGATTTGATATCAATTCATGACTTGCCTAGAAGGGAAAAAGATTTATGCTTGAACAGTAAATGAAAATCATTGAGAAATTTCTCAGTTATCTCTTTTCGTTTTTAGATCACAACATAAGACATAATTACCTAACCTAACCCAGTCTGTCCTTTTAATCACAGACATCATGGCACTGTTGTACACAGCCCAATGAGTGGCTACTGATGGAGCCTTCAATATGTGAAATATGACTGTTGTACATCAGTTGTGCACATAGTGAGTGCCCATTTTCTGTTTGTGTAGTAGACTTTTTTTTATCACCTTTTATCTTATATTCATAGTTTTCCATTGGAAGCAAAGAATCTGATGACCATTATCAAACAGTTATATAAAATGAAAATAGCTTAAAAAATTTAATGAAAAAAGTAGTAAATGAGGCAAGCAGTCTTGTCTAATGATGCACCAAAACTGACAGTGAGGTACCTGAAAGAGAGAACAGATATACCTCTGCATACATGATAGGGCATACAGGGACCAGCTGTTTGAGAGGTGAGAAACAGATATTTGGGGGCATAGCTGGAAATTAAAGACACATTCAAGTCACAGGGATGTCAGGAAGTATATCTTCAGTTTCAGGGTGGTCAGAAAGTGGAACCTTGACAAAGTAATTGAGGCAGGACAGGCTTCCTAAATAGTTTTAAAAGTAGGTTTATAGGCAAGGAGAGAGTGAATCTGGCAAGTGGTAAGTTAAGAAGCAGGGCCAAGAGTCAAGACTCAACCTCTGCAACTACAAACTGGTGAGGGCAGTACTTACCTTAATATGCTTACTAAGAGGCTGGGTAATAGTAGCAACACTAGTTGAGGCAAGTAGGGTAAGAGTGTGACATAACTGAAGTGCCAGTAATCTCACTCTTTCTCGCTGCGCTCTTCTGTAGAGATCTCCACAACGTACTTCCAGTAAGTTCAACAAATCTACACTTCCAGATACTACAAGCTGTATCACAGACAATCTATGAATTACATATAAGGCAATAGCAAAAAGATGATTTCTAAATTATTTAACACTTGTTTTCGTACATAAACCAGGATGATGGGTTGCATTAACAAGCTAATACATAATTATGGGAATTTTCTTTTTGAAGGTATAACTTATGTAAAATTTATTCTAAACATTTCAATTGGCAACATATGTTTAGAGCAGTACTTCAAAGTTTCACCAATAAATTATGCATGTTAGTGTGCAAAGACAAATGAGAATGCAGCGGTTCATCAATCAGTAAATGTATGTTTAAGTAGAAAAACAGGACAGAATAAAATCAAAAGACACAAGCATAAGGAAATCAAAAGAAAACAGCAAAGTAGAATTAATTAGACAGGCAATGTGAAGGTGAAGACACTGCCAACTGAAAACCAACTTTATCAACTTTAATCCAAAGACATATCATTTAATCATAATAAGGGAAGAGAAAGCTCAAAGATATTGCACTGCAAAATAAATAGGAATGTAGAGATTACTGATAAATAAAGCTTTTATAACAGTCAAATAAAATATGTAAAATAGTGCAAATAGTGGGTTCTTGTCTAGTAATAATTTTTATGAATATATTTAACTAGGCAAAGTTAATCCTTGACAATAAATTTTAAGAGGTTTCTGAAATGAATGATTTTTCTTTGGTGCCTTATTTCTTTTAGCAATCTGTTTGACTTGACAGTCCATGAAACAAATAATGCATGTGATACTATATGCTAAATTCCCTAAACTGATCAAATGCACAGCTTTCAGAACATGCCCTAATTGACACATCAAATTAGTTGCAAACTTTCAAAATGAGTATATATGAAATAATAATTTGCATAATATAATGTAGCACTGACAGCAGCAATTCTTCTAAAGAGCATTCACAAATTCAGAATGAATGGGATTAAGAATTATAAAAACTTGAATGGGATTAAGAATTATAAAAACTTGAATGGGATTAAGAATTATAAAAACTTGAATGGGATTAAGAATTATAAAAACTGAATTAAATAAAAAACTTGAATGGGATTAAGAATTATAAAAACTTGAATGGGATTAAGAATTATAAAAACTTGAATGGGATTAAGAATTATAAAAACTTGAAGTAAACTGTCTTCATCTTGAACATAAAATATGTACAGTATAACTCTGGAAACCTGCCTATCTAATTTCCTGAATAAAAAAAAAAGTACCTGGAATTTATCAGGAAGGTGTTGAATACTGCTCGTCTGCTCCAGCCGATGCAAGCACTGCTGGAGATGTGTCAGTGCTCGAGTCACTTTGCGCAACTGAGCACGATCCCAAGCCAGGAGTGCCTCTGTCAGTGTTGATAGCAGCTGCTCTGTGTCTTCCACAATACCTGCCCACACGTCCTCATTGTCTCTTACACCAACATCTCCCCGCTATAAAATGTTTGCAAGTAGTAAAAATAAAAGCTGGAAAAATGCCATTAGATAACGGCAAACTTTTTAAGTAAAATGAAAACCTAGTTGTTTCACAAATATCAATATCTTAAATGAATAATATATTGCATTTGTATATATTGTACTGTATGTTTTTATAAAAAAAAAAATTAAAGTTTTCATTATATCATGAATATGTAATAGGCTAAAAAGTACATGTATTGTAAAAACTGAGAAATTTTTAAGGCTTATGTCAAATTTATATAAAAATAGGAACAGGAATGATCATTGTAATGCTTTAACTTTTATAAATTCTAAAAGACGAGTAAGTGACCCATAATAAAGCATTCAACTGCATCACTGTTAATCTCTAATAATTACAACACAATTCTTCAAGGCAATCTTTTTTTATAACATCAGCCCTTTGCCACCAAAGTGAGGTGATAGTTGTGAGGGCTTCACCATCACCAGGGAGACGAAACAGTGTGGTGAATCTAATTTTGGAAAAAAAAAAAAAAAACTACAATAGACAATTCCCCTACAAAAAATGGCAAAAGTAATGAGGCACAAATATGTACTCATTCTATATTTTTCATTCTATTTCAGTATTTTTAATTGAATACAGTTACTGTATAGCTACAGTACATTTACAGATTGTCTTTATACCATAAAATATTAATAAAGGAATGCAACTAACAGATGTTACAAATAACCAAATAAAACTGATGCTGCAATCAATTAAACTTACATGAAGATCTCTTGTGGCATCAGTGAGTGAGTCTGTCACTTTGTCTAGCTGAATTTTGATTCTTTTGATCTCGTCCAAAAGCACATCGTCCCTGCATGATTTTGCGTACAAAGCTAGACGGGACACAAGCAAAGCACAAGACGTCTCTAAGTCCTGACATTGCTTCAATAATTTGAGCACTGTTGTAGCATCACAGACAACACCCTGCCTATTCCTCAGCTCCAATACCTAAGAAATAAAATACACTAGTATTGTATGCATCTGTACTGTGCATACCAAATAGTTACATTAAGACATAGTACTGTACTCAATGTTAGCAGTACAGTATAATGGGCTCAACTGAATATGCACACATATCTGCCATATCCTGTCCAAGAAAAGCAGCAAGCTAAAGTTATGCAAATTTTTATATGTAAATTTTTAAGTCTGAACCAAAACTAACCTTCCAACTTATTATAATCATGATAAAATTTATGTAAACTACTAGTAATATAAAATGGATTAATTTACCTAACCTTTAAGAAATTTGAATTACATTTGTTAACCATTTTCTTAAGGGAATGAGGCAAATCTTCAGGGTCACACTTGTATAATTGCTAGATTATTATGTATAGTCACAAATATTATTGTTGTATTAATTTTATTGTTAATATTAATCACTTTCCCTTATTTTATTTGGTTTTGCTTTGTGTGAATTTGCTATTATATAATTTCCTATGTTGTAAAACAAAATATCAAACCATGTTAAGTAGAATGATTTACCTACAAAATATCACAGTTCATCCCTGCTCTCTAACAAAAAAAAAAATTGATAAACAAAATACAAGTTGCCCAAAATATGAAGGTAAGATTTATCTTGGGCCTCAGTGCAAGAGAACAAACTGCAAAAATTAGAAATGCTAAAACTGGCAGAAGCAACATGACTGAAATTAAATCATATCTAGAAACCTGCTAACAGTTAAGGTCCAAACTCAAAATTGTAGTAAGGGAAGTGAACTGAAGGACCCAAGCTCAATTCTGGGCAATTAGATACATGTGAGTAAGTCTCCTCACACCTCACACCTGTGAGGAGACTTGCTAGGTAATGTGCTAAGTGAACTTTCATGCTCACCTAGCAATAAATAGATACTGTATTTGAGTGTTAGCGAACAGTTGTAGGGCGCAGTCTGGGAAAAAGACAAAAAGACCTCAATGGAAAATATGACACATAACGTGACTTTCTGGGTTATCCTTGATTACAATAATAATTGAGAAAAATTATTTTTCTTTAACCACATTTTGTAGTACCCACTGTAGGTGGCCAGGTATTAAACATCTTCAAGTTGTTGTAAGTCATCCTGGCATATATGATCTCCTGAACCCTGGTCCAGGATGAATCTTGCTATTTTGTCCTGGGTTATTTGTAGTATTTTTTTGTTTTGTGAGAGCAGGATACCATGAAGAACAAAAATTATTTATATATCACTGTATGACCTAGACAAAGGGTCCTGCAAGTTTCATTGGGTAAACAATGTGCCTGTATGTGGAGGAACTTTAACCTGGAATCTGTATTTTTTATTATATTGTTTACTACAAATTTTCTTGACATGCTTGGGTTAAAGGAAATTCCCAGGTATTTCAGTGAGGTGATAGGTATTGAGGTGATAGGTTCCCCATAATAGTATTTACCCTTTTGAGTTAACTTTTCCTGTCAAGTTATGGCTTTTGCTTTCCCATGATGTAGCAATACAGCCTCTCCTCACTTAATGATGGAGTTCCATTCCTAAGACCACATCAGTAAACGGATTCGTCGCTAAAGGAGAAGCATACTATAATGGTAGTGGGTTTGTGTCAACCATCTTTGATATTGTTTTAATGTTACCTTTGCACCATTTACAACATTTCCGGTATATTTTTAAATGTTTATACAGCACTGTACTCTATATTGTAATAAACAGAATTGAGGAAATCAGCTCTAATATACATTATTTAGGTAAGCATACCGGTCAAAGAGCCCATCATAAGTTCGAGTTGTCGGTAAACGAGTACGTCGCTAAGTGAGGAGAGGCTGTAGTTTGTTTTCTATTAGCCATTTGCTGCAGTATTCTATCACTATCACTGTTTCAGTGATAGTATATGAGCTATATCTTGTGGGTCTTTAGTAAGTTTATTTAGGCACAGGTACACACAAGTACAATTATCATACATAGCGTAAATTACCTAGGATAACACCAAAAAAGTCAAAGTGAGTTATTTAGTTTACCAGAGACTAGCATTATTATTATTCTAATTAAAACTAAGTGCTAAACTGGAAGGGTCATGCAATACCCTGATTATTATTATAATCAAGGGGAAGCACTAAACTCATAGGATAATGCAGTGCCTGTGGGGGGCATTAATATAATCATGGGGGAGTGTTAAACCCATAGGATTATACAGCACATGGGGGAGGGGATGGAAGGCATTCAGGCTCAATTCAGGGAACCAGAGCACAGATCCAATTCCCTAGATCAAGAGCCCCTCACCAGCATCAAAGGAACCTTCCTTGCGCGGATGCAGTGCCCTGAGACTAGCAGGGCAGTCATGTGCATACAACAAAGTTTACACTTGACAATGATAGGCATGCCATTCACATAAAAACAGTACTATTATTATTATTATGACAATCAGAACTTAACGCTAAGCCCACAAATAGTAAGAACCCCACACATGCTATATAGAGGCAGGGGATCTGGTTCTGTAATATCTTTATTACTAACGTATTGTTAACCTTGACGACTGTATTGAAAATAATATGGTATAAAATACCGACAATTTGAAGATTAAGACATGTACAACAACTGGGCATCTTTATTGATGAAATGTTTCGCCTACACAGTAGGCTTCTTCAGTCAAATACAGTGAGCAGTAGTAGTGAAAAAAGATTATATAATCAGTTCATCATTGGATTATTATAATCATGGGGAGCACTAAACCCGTAGGATTATACTGCGCATGTGGGGGGGGGAATGGAAGGTATTCAGACTCAATTCAGGGAACCAGATCACAGACCCAATTCCCTAGATCAAGAGCCCCCTCACCAGCGTCAAGGAACCTCCCTCGAGGGGATCAACATACAAGCTGAGCTCTTCTCCAGGCTGAGGGACTGACCACCTCAAATACTTTTTCTCCAATGTTGATGGACTGATTACATCATCTTTTTTCATTACTATTGCTCCCTCTACAATTGACTGAAGAAGCCTACAGTGTAGACGAAACGTTTCATCAATAAAGATACCCAACTGTTGCACATGTGACTTAGTCTTCAACTTTGACGATATTTCAAGTTGCTCAGGTACAACTTAAACCAGTCTACAGTATATGTAGCTTTTTTTTCTTACACAATATATTATGGTTAACTATATTTAATGCATTTTTCAGGTCTAGAATATTTTGAGTTCTCAGACAGTCTATCAGATTGATTAAGGAGGTACAAGTGAATTTATTTAGGTACTTATAGTTTAACGTGTATCGATTCATCAAGATCCGAAACCTGATTAATTGGTTTATTCAATCCAGTTGCCTATTAAAACCTAATTAAAAAAAAGGCTAACTCACTTGATTTGCAATTGGTCCAAGAACATTCAGAATTGACTTTGTCTTTGTACATTGACTTATTCTTTCCATTTCGTACAATAAGATCAAAACTTAGTTTGAACGTTGTTCTCCCGCCCCGCCAGCGCCACCTGTTGCCCATCATTATAACTACACCTGTAAATAAACTCCATTCAAATTATTATTATTATTATTATTATAATCAAGGGGAAGCGCTAAACCCGTAGGATTATACAGCGCCTGTGGGGGGGATGGAAGGTATTCAGGGTTAATTCAGGTAACTGGAGCAAACTCCAAAAATTATTGTTATACATACAGAATTTTCATGGTTGTTTTTCATGGGGCACGAATGTCATATTATTTCTTGAGAATCAGCAAATTTTTAGTGGCAATGACTTTATTAGGTTAATCTAGGTTAGATCTACACAATATACCATCGTTGTGAATAAAACACTTGAGAACCATTGTATAAATTTCTATGAAATATTATGTAAATTTTCCTGAATAAAAATAGTTATTATCTCCAATCCCCCTTTTCCTAAATAATCATTATTTTTAGTCTGTAAACCAATGGAAATAAGTCACACTGACTTTTTGGGGTTTTCCTAGGTTCACTACACTTATGCTGCTATGTATGATAATCTATGTAACTGTATTTGTGTATACCTGAATAAACTTATTTACGAAGAGCAGACTGATGTCATTTGTCAAGACACGGGCTGCAGTACAGCTGTACTACTAAATATTTTGTACTTATACTTTGGGATTACTGCAGTTTGTGTACACTGAGTCCTTTTATTTTCCAGGCGATTTGATTATTATAATCAAAAAGAAGCGCTGAACCTACAAGGGTTATACAGCGCAGCAGGACAGGGAAGGGTGCAGGGGTATTGGGTAGCAAGAGGGAGAGGAATTATTATTAAGTCATGGAGTGCCTGGCAATTTGATAAGTTAGTTTTAGTTAGATTTGATCAGGTACCTTTGATCGGTTCCTGACCAGCCGGGCTGTGGCTCGTACGTTGGTTTGCGTGCAGCCAGCAGTAACAGCCTGGTTGATCAGGCTCTGATCCACCAGGAGGCCTGGTCACAGACCGGGCCGCGGGGGCGTTGATCCCCGGAACTCTCTCCAGGTAATATAAAGCCACGGTATATTATAATCAAAACTAAGCGCTAAATCCGTAAAGGTCATACAGCGTACAGGGGTATGCTTGACCTGAGACCAGCGAGGGTGAAGAATACAAGAGGCAGATAATTATAATCAAAACCAAGCGCTAAACCCTTTAGGGATAACCGAGGCAGAGTTAAGTACGTATATGAATGAACAGTATGGACGAGGCTCAAACCGTGGTCCATAAACTGACCGATTCAACAACCTCCAGGTAGGTATCTCTAGGAATTAACTTAGTATGGCTTAGCTAAATCATCTGTTTAGATAAGAGCACTGAGTCTTTCAATTAATAATAGCAAAAGACTTGCCAAATAAAGACCCTGAGTCATACACTTCCAGCTGCCACTCCTAAATCCGTAGACAATCTTCATTATTATAATCAAAAAGAGTAGACAATCTTCAGTAATATTCCCATCATCAGATACCCTGTCAGATTACCTCTCAGTCTTAACAGAGGGTTATCAAATTATTTATTCACGGGGAAACTCAATCTATAAGCGCCATATAGAGCGCTTGGGGAGTGGGGGGGTCCAGACTTGCTCCTTGGATCAAAAGCCCGTCACCAGCATCAAGGCACCTACCTTAAGGGTTATTATAAAAAAGCGCTAAACATACAAGGGTCACAGCGCAGCCTCCTTTAAGGGTATATGAGAAGCGTTAAACCCGCAGGATTATATAGCGCATGGGGGTAGGGGTTGGAAAGTATTCAGGCTCAATTCAGGGAACCGGAGCACAGATCCAATTCCCTAGATTAAGAACCCCTCACTAAGTGTCAAGGAACCTTCCTTGAGGGGCCTAAATTAAAACTATGAAAGCCGAGCGCTTCGCCCACAAAGGTGATACAGCACCTAAGTTAAAGCTTAAAATGTCAAAGCGCAGTTCTCCGAGGTTCATGTATACGTCCCGGTAATTAAAAAAGAAAATACGTAAGCAATCCAGCAGTTCCACAGCCAGTCGCTACATAATTAGCAGATATCTAGAAACATGTGGGTATGGGAGATATACATGCCTAGTGGCGGCGTCAAGGACGAGGACAAGACAGTGACCCCTAAGTCTATGTACCAGAGCCTCAATTAATGAAATGCCATCTCTGACTTACTGATGAAGGGACAAACACCCATGCAACTTTGCATGTGGGCCCACCACTTTCAAGAACAATATATATAGATGAAAATCTAGATTCTTTATACCAGAACTTCACTCCTGCCCCAGGGCGGGCGAGCATCAAGGCAGTCCCAGGGCAGACCGGCATCAAGGCATTATTATTATTATAATCAAAAAGAAGCGCTAAGCCACAAGGGCTATACAGCGCTGCAGGGCAGGAAGCGAGGGCATCAGGTGGCAAAAGGGAGGTGTATGAGTAATAGGTTACGGATAACAGCGGAGAAGTGGATGGTGAAAGGGTAAAGGGCAGCAAGAGACTGAGCTAGAAAGGGCTGAGGGGAGTGCGTAAGGTATCATCATCAGAGTTTGTGGAGTAAATCAGTCGTTGTCAAGAAGTCAATGAGAGAGGATTAAAGGAGGGTCCATCAGCAAAAAGGGAAGGTAAAGAGAGAGTAGTAGAACGAAGACGGTGTTGGAGGTAAGTTCTGCATGCTCGTTGATAGAGAGGGCAGTCTAACAGAATGTGGCTAATCGATACAGGATCTTGACACTGCTCACAGAGAGGTACAGGGTGCCTCTCCATGAGATACCCGCGAGTAAGACGAGTGTGGCCAATGCGAAGACGGGAGAGAGTGGTCTCCCAACCACGGCACTGATGACAAGAAGACGGCCAGTAACCTATGCTCGGTTTAATAGAATGAAGTTTGTTACCAAGCAGAGTTGACCAATGTTGTTGCCAACGGGCGTGAAGGTGGGTAGCTATTGCAGCAAAATAGTCCAGAAATGGAACACCTCTATAAGAAATTGGTAGGTCATGTACTGCTGACTGCGCAGCAGTGTCTGCCTGTTCATTGCCCTGTACGTCGATATGACCAGGGACCCAACAAAAAATAATATCTTTATGCTTGGTAGAGATACGGCATAGCCAAAGTTGGATACGGAGAACTAGGGGGTGAGATGTATCAAATTTTCGTATAGCCTGTGGAGCACTAAGGGAGTCTGAGACTACCACAAATGATGACACAGGCATAGATGCGATACAAATAAGTGCTGCAAGAATGGCATACAAATCAGCAGTAAAAATGCTAGCCGAAGATAGTAAATGCCCCCACACGACGCTGTCCGGAAACACTGCTGCGAATCCGACACCGTCTGAAGACTTAGAGCCATCTGTGTACACAGCAATGGCATGAGAATGGGAGTGGAAGTGATCAAGAAAAAGAGAGCGGGAAGCCACTGTAGGCAGTTGAGCTTTCGAGCATGGGAGTGAGAAAGAACAGACCCGAACAGCTGGAACTTCCCAGGGGGGTAGGGAAAAGTGAGATGCTACATGAACATATAAAGGTGGTAACTGAAGGGAAGACAAGAGTGAATGTCTACTAATATCAGTGACCATTCTATAAATGGAAGGATTGTGGAGATCGTGAGAGCGTACATAGTAGCGAAGGCAATGGGCATCACGGCGATCAGACAAGAATGGAACATTCGCTTCTGCATAGAGGCTCTCAACAGGGGAAGAGAGAAAAGCACCAAGGCACAAACGTAATCCTTGGTGATGGATAGGGTTAAGGCTAGAAAGAGTAGCAGGAGAGGCCGCTGAATAAATCTGGTCACCATAATCGAGTTTCGATAAAACGAGGGCTGAATGTAGGCGAAGCAGAGTTCGACGATCAGCTCCCCAGGAAAGATGAGCAAGGGTTTTAAGAAGGTTTAGCCGGCTGTGACAAGTTGCCTTCAGAGAGGTAATGTGAGGTTTCCAAGATAACCTACGGTCAAAGAGAAGGCCTAGAAACCTGACTGTTTCACGTTCGGGGATATGGGAGCCATAGAGATACAAAGGATGATCGGAGATAACAGAGCATCTAGTGAAAGTAATTTGGTGAATTTTGGTACTTGAAAATTTAAACCCATGCGTGGTGGCCCAAGTGGAAACACGGTCGACCGCATGCTGGAGAGAAACTGCAATGAGATGACAGTCAGCGCCTGCACAAGCAATAGCGAAGTCATCAACATAGAGTGATGACCAAATATTGGGTGGAAGAACAGAGGTCAAATCATTTATAGCAAGGAGAAAAAGTGTTGTGCTTAGAACACATCCCTGAGGGGCACCTTCAGCTTGGACGAAGTCCGGGGAAAGAACATTATTGACTCGAACACAGAAATGTCCGTCAGTTAAAAAGTTCTTAAGGAAGGATGGTAGATTGTCTCGGAGGCCTAAGGAGTGGGCCTGGGCCAAAATATTATACCTCCAAGTTGTGTCATATGCCTTCTCAAGGTCAAAAAATATGGCAATAACTGAGTGATTATTCTCAAAGGCATTACGAACATATGTATCCAAGTGTAGTAAGGGGTTTATGGTAGAACGGCCCTTACGAAAGCCATACTGACTAGTGGAGAGACTGTTGTGTGTCTCTAAATACCACATTAAACGTCGATTTACGAGACGTTCCATCACTTTGCAAACTGCACTAGTAAGAGCGATAGGACGATAGTGGGAGGCATCATGTCCTGTAGTACCCGGTTTGCGGAAAGGGAGAACAATGGCAGATTTCCACAGCTGGGGAAGAACTCCTTGTGCCCAAATAAGATTGAAGAGGTGTAAGAGGACTACAAGGGCTGACCCATGTAAATGTTGTAACATACGAATATGAATGTCGTCAGGCCCAGCTGCCGATGATCGGCAAGCTGAGAGCGTTGCCTCCAGTTCTTGAAGTGCAAAAGGCACATTATACTGTTCTTCTCTAAGAGAAGAAAAGTCCAAGGGTACTAACTCTCTGGCAGACTTTGAAGAAACGAAGGGCATAGATGGAGCCCCCGGGAAATACGGACCAGATGTGTGCCAAGTTCAATGGCAACGTCGAGAGGGTTTGCTACATCAACACCA